TCTCCTAGGGGACAGGAGTCCTGGCATTATTCGTCTTTGTGTGATGCAGTGTCTAGCCCCGTGTTTTGTCCAGAAGCAGCACTCCATAAGTGTGGAATCACAGGGCAGTAATTAGTTTCATTAATCACATCCTTACTATAACAACGACGATGAAATGCAAGCGCCTCCCGTTTGCATCTATAACACATTCCTGGTCTGTGCAGGTCGTCGTTTCTTGTGGGTCAGAGCGCTCACTCTCGGCCTCTCTCCCGCCAGGTGTACGACCGCGTGGCAGGAGAAGCTGTGTTACTGATGGACAAACGACTGGACAGACTCATCTCTCACTGTGGCCCAGTAACAGGCTGCATTTTTGCTTTGTTGGCTGTATTCAACTTTCTCTTCCTCCTTTTCCTGAGATGGATGACTCCAGATTCTATCATCGATGTTGCAATAGATGCCACAGGGCCCAAGGGCTCCTGGACTCATCAATATCCTTACAGTAAAAAAGGGGGCGAGAATAATGAGATGTCTAAACCCAGGTAGAAGAAAGCCTGGATTGTAAGGTTTTACACATTTGTAATAGTTCTAGTAAGATGATTGAAAATAACCTTGCTTTTTTTCTTGCTTTTTTTTAACGTTAATTTAGTAAGTTATGCTACCTCTATATCATTCAATGTTTTATTTTGAGGAAAGATAAAAACTTATGCAATTCCTGAGTGTAGAAACTCCTTGCACTTACTTAAGATTTAGGAGAGAACATTGAAGCCACTCAGGTATGAAATTTTTCAGACTACTGAAGTCCCTCTATCAGAGATGTTTTAAAATTATATTTTGGGAGATTTTGGGTGCTGAAGGGCCAAATGTTTTCTGGGCATTTTTTGGCCAATTTTAAATGTTCTACCATTAATTAGACATTCACCAGATGTTTACAGGTTTTCTTTCGGGAAGTACAACAACGATATGAACTGTTTTTGAGTCCTCTTCATAAACATTCCAGTCATTGAAGTCATGTTCTTAGACATTCGTTTGGTGCGCTCAGTAAGTGTTACAGACCGTCAGCAGGATTCTTGAGCAAAATGGTCCATCAGTTATGAGCATGTTTTAAGCACCTACTGTGTGTAGAAAAATGAACTAGACACATCCTGCTGCTATGGACCAGGGGCGCATTCAGATGTTCTTTGTGTATCGCTTGGGTGGCTCACTTCACCATAGTCACAGTTAACAAAATGGTAAACCGTCTAACATGGCCAAAAACACTCAGGCTTCCAATGCCAGGAAAAAAAAATGGTCGGCACACTCTGATTTCTTCAATCTGGTCATAATGCATTCTCCTAGGTAGAGCCTTCGTCTTAATTTGTGTTTATGAAAAACCTTTTTGCTTCTGAAATACTAGGGACCGATATCACTGTTGACGATAGTGCAGAGAAACCCTCCAAGTCTTCCCAGGCATAATTGAGTCCTCTGTAAATGCCTTCGTATTTTCCGAGCAGGACGGATGAGGTGTGCCGTCTCCAACTCAGCTGTTACCCTCCTCGACCTTTGATAGAAGTCACTTCCCTTCACTTGTGGCCTAGCTGATGTCTGAGAAGTATTGTCAGTGTGCAGAAGTCTTCACCCCGGAACGTTTTATTTATAGCAAATTGAGTCTGAAAATTGTAGAAACACAGTCTCTTTGTGGTTGTCTGTTGTTAACTGTAATCGTTGTTGCCCAGAGCCATGGGTTTTTAAACCCCAAATTATCCACATGGTGTGTCTTATTAACTCCTTGAACTCCTTAGAATACATTTTTGTGATAAAGGACTGTGAAGTCAAAAGAAAGAGGCGCTCGTGGCGCACTAGGAAGATGCTGGCAGTATTGGGATTCTGTACAGAATTGGTTTCCTTTTTTTTTTTTTTTTTTAACGACAACACTCACAAAGCTTCTTTTTTAAAAGGTATCTTAACATGCCTATTAACCGGTTGCCACTGATACATAAAAAATACGATTTTTGTTTTGTGCTAAAACACAAATGCAATGTTATTTTTAAAACCTGCAAGTTGAGCGATCTTTTGTTAAAGAGAAATGAGTTGACCCAAACCATTAAAATGTTAGGGATTTTTTTGCACAGAAATTGATTTATATAAATATGAAATAAACAGTGCCAATAATCACGAAAAAGCAAGAAACAGTAACCTGTGTTTTTATTTATTCTCTTCAGCAGCTTTTAAGGGCATACTACCATTGGTTCTTATATTTTTGTTTCTCAGCATATTTTCAAGATGGCCATTTATTTCAGATGGAAATGGGATTTAAACTATTTGCATGTAAAATATGTAATTTGCAAATCAAAATTAGTTCCTTTGGTTTTAACAAATGGAGGTAAATTTGCTTGTTCTAGTAAATCTTAATTTTCAGGCTTCCTGGATACCTTAATTGTAACTGTCGGTGTTGCACTGGTCAGTATGCGCAAACATATTGTTCGACCCTGCTACTTCCATTAATTTGAAAGTGAACTTGCAGTGACGAGGAATTTATGAAAAACAATACTGTATTTCTCTCGATATTACAAAAACTAGCACATATGAAACTGATTTATGAAAACACGCTACACGTCCAAAAAATAAAGACCAAAATGACATTTTGACAATTTTCTGAGTTTGTCTTGTTTTATGAAGAGAATATGATTTCTTTGTTTAACAGTGCCCCCGCACCCCCTCCCTCTTATGCATGCTCTTTCACTGTGATTAGACATGTTGCTTGGTCTGTTAGTTAAACAGGAACTGTCCTTCAGATGATGAATTACTCTGTCATCTTTTCTCTCTAGAGTACATTCTCTCTCTTTACTCATGGAATAGCACGTTGAATTATGCCTTTGTTTCCTGATCCACACAAGCCCTGTTTTTCCCTGCACTGGAGTTGTCGCATGAGCCAAGCAAATACATCTAGAAGCTGTTGTATATGCGAACTACGTAATTATGCTTTCTATCTCTTAAGCTATTTTAAGAGGAATTTGAATTTTGATTTCACTTACAGGAGCCCAGCTTCTCCCACCCCTTTTGTTGGAAACAGTGGAGAGCAGTCCTCTACGCTGGTATTTTCTGATTTATCTTGCACCAAAATTTATTTTTGGCCAAGTTGGGGTATCATAGGTCTGTGTTTACTTTAGCACAGGGTTTTTTAAAGTCCTCTTTCTCCTTCTCCACATTCCCGAAAGAATATGGTGAGATGTTAAATTGTATCATCCTGTGGCTGGGCTTTTTTAAATATGAAATTCTAAAAATTCAAGTTCTGTACAAAATTTAATTTGTATTCACTAGTACTCCGGGGACTTGATTTTCCTTTATCCTTTATGTTTGGCTACGGCTCAGTGGTTCTTAACTGAATGTGGGTAGGGGGATAGGGGAGAAGGGGGGGTGGCGATTTTGCCCCGTAGGGGACACCTGGCAGTGTCTGGAGACATCTCTAGTTGATAGCCCTGGGTAGGAGTGTGGGGGTGTTGGCATCAAGTGGGCAGAGGGCAGAGCTGCTGCTGGATATCCTACAATGTTTTTGGATCCCCGCCAAACAAAGAATTATCTGGTCCCAAATATCAGTAGTGCTGATGCTGAGATATTGGTGCTACAGAGGATTTCGTCTGAGGGCTGCTGTGAGTTAACCCCTTATTTTGTGCCCATCCTGAATGTCATGCTCAAACACAGTTAAAGACGGTCTCTCAGAAATAGCATAGATGTCCGTATGAACCTTAAAAAAAGAGCCGAACTCCTCATGGCCAACACAGAAAGTATAGCCATGTTTTAAATGAAGATTAAGGCCCAAACAAGATTGACTAACGTGCTATAATATGTCACTGGGCTGACTTGAGTAAAGGACGGGCTTCTTAGAGGGTGGTGTTCTTGTGTTCACAGATGCCTGTGTTCACGGATTCTCCTACGTTGGCACTCTGTAGGTAGCAACCTGTGGTCGGTACTAAGCTGGGTCAAGAAACCGTGTATGTTGATCTCAGTCTTTGGGAGTGGGAACTGCACTGGGTTTTCCTGGTTCTATAATTCACTGAGATGGACGCAGTATGTACTGGGACCCAAAGCTGTGTGCTCGCACGTCAACATTTCCCCGGACTACGGGGAGCCAGTTCTCATAGAGGTCATCATTCCACTTTGCCTGAGTGCTATAAGAAACTCCCATATTTTGTGCATAAAGCATTTAGTAAGATTTCTTTAGTCTGCGCTAGGCAAATTTTTTTGGTTTGCCTTTTTCAATAGTTTGTAGAGATGTTTGAAAATCTAATATAGCCAAGAATGAAAGAGGAGACCTGGATTTTCCTCGTCTGATTTTTGTAGGTGAGGGAAATGAACAGCAAGCCGATTTCCCTTGTATTGGCCCACCGACATATGTTGAAGGGTTAGAGTTGTAAGGGAATACTGTCCAATGTGGGAAGGTATTGATATGTAGAATCTTTGGGTAATTCACTCAGAACATAGGGCATCTTCTTCATTTCGCTGTAACTCTTCCATGGTCAAGGAGAGCGCCCATATTCCAATCCGAGGCACCATCTTTACTAATACTTGAAATGGGAAATGAACAATGGGCTTTGCTAGCAGACCTTGTCACGGATGAGACCATTAGAGCAAGTGGTCTAATGCTTTCAATGTGACACAACCACTTGGAGAAGCATCCAGGATGAGCCCTTTACTAAATACTGCCTTAGAGTAAATGATCTTGTTTAACTGGTCATAGTTTAGATTGGGGCATTATCTCCCCAAAACCTCAGGAGGAAGAGAAAATGAAATGGTCTGGGGCCAATTCTTCCCCCTTCAGATAACTCACTCCTCGCCCCCTCCCCGCCCTGCCCCCGTTTGTTTTCTCTCTCCAATGCTGCCTTCCCATGTAACTGGGATTTAGGAACAGAACAGATCCAGCCAGGAATCCTGTGTGTTAAATAGCACTGAGGAATGCGGGTCAAAAAGGAAGTTTCTTGAGTTCATTTCCCATCGCTGTGGAAGTCAGCACTGCAGCCGCCAAATCACAGTGAGCTTAGAATGTATGAGTGAGTTCTCAGTAACAAGAGCAGCAAGGGCTAGAAAGTTGAAAATAGATGTCATATGATACCAATTATAACTCAGTGAGATTTTGCAGTACCAAGAACCTATACAGAGGGTGAGCCAAAATGGAAGACGGTCCTGTTTCCTATGGCTTTAAAAACATTTTTATTACAATGTTTGCTACCTTTTTTTTCTTCAAACTTTTAATTAAAGTTTGTTTGGCTCTCCTGACTCATTTCTATATCGTCAAAGGAAATAGAAAAGAAGCGGCTAGGATAGCAGAAGAGATCTATGGTGGAATTTCAGGTAAAAATACCCGGATTTGCTCCTAAAACTTAAAAAAAAAAAAGAAAAAAAACACTCTCCTGATAGTTCATGTGAATAATATTTCTAGAGGGCAGATTTTATTATACTTTGGCTTTGTGTGGGTAGTTTCAAGAATTATTGTTTAAAGTAGCAAGTGATGTTGGCTACACCAATTTGAAGGATTTCTCAGCTTTATTTTTTGCAAGTTTGTAGTTCTTTTAGGGGTTATTATTTAAGTAAATAGGTTAGTGGCTTTCTTAGAGTATGTGGAGAAACCTCATTGCTACTAACCTAGAGAATGACTTACATGGGATTATTTTCTTTAATATTTTTAAGCAAACTTTAACAATGCATTCTAACAAGACTAAGTTTCCTCTGGAAATAGAATGACCAGGAAATCTGATTTAAAGCAGCAAATGTGCCATGCTATATATATTTTTGTGTTGTCACTTGCAATTCGAATCCATTAGCTACTCGTCGCTGTCAGGAAATACCCTGCGTTAAACCCGTTTATACACGGCACTGTGCAAAGCCCTGCAAACAAAGGTTTCCTAATATGAAATGCCAGCATTCGGGAAAAACATTTTTAAGTCTCATGCTCTGTAGGATTTAGTCTCCAGTTCTCTCAAGAAATGATTCACCTTAACTGGAGTGAATTGCTGCAAAAGTAAATGAATTGGATAGCTGTCACTGCTGGGATGGTCACTTGATAGAGGAGTATTTATTTGTAAACAGAGTTCACAATTTCCCTCTCTATCCTTAGTGTTCGTAGGGATTCCAGGATGACGTCATTCTTGATCTAGTATACATGTCAATTTGCACCCGGGATTCTCTTTCAAAATAGACCTGTGCAATGTGATTCCAATACACTAGACAACTTTGAAGACACTAGATGACGGCAGTCTCATCCCCCCCCCCATCCCCCCAAATAAGACCTCCAAAGACAAAGCCTCAGAATGCTTCAGTTCCCCGGGGGAAATGAGGAGAATCTTGAAGTTTCAGGAAGTGTCAGAAGGCCCGGAATGTGGAAGGAGGTTTCTTTTGGGGATTACATTTGTCACACATTTCAGGGAGGTATGTTGCTTAGACTGGTTTTTTAAAAGTTTCTCTTTCATTTCAAGTTCATGTGATCTGAAAATCTATTTTCTAATTTCATATGTAAATGTGGGCAGGGACTTTCTAAAAGTTTCGGTCACACAGTATGGATGTTCTCATAGATTGATCCTCATGGTTTAAATGAGGTAAAGTGCAACAAAGTATTGACAGGAACGTGTTAAGAATATTTTGTCCTGTTGTTCACCTGCATTGTTTCTGTCTTTGTCATCCTGAATTAAGCACACTCTTAAAAAGTTTCGATAGTAGTCAAAACCCATGTAAAAACATGGTTTGGATTTAGGTCTGGAGCCATAATACAGATCTCTTAAGTAGAGCTCATTCATTCTTTAACCCAAATGTCCTCATTTGGTCATTAAATGGGTAATATCCCACTTAATTTGGAAGTAGCATGGCGTTATAAAATCAAAAATGTGTGTCTTAATTATCATCAACGAGGCGGATGGCGGGGGGAATAGTACATGTCAATTTCTCAGTTTAATTTCCTTTCTATGTATACATATATGTGTGGGTGGGTGACTGTGTGTGCACCCCCCCACGTATGTATAATAGACAGTATATCCAGATGTGGTAAATAAGGCTTTCTATGAGAATGTAGGCAGCAGCATGCCAGAAACAGTGTGGTTTTTTTTTTCTTTTGACACTGTTAGGAGTCAGTTGCTATATACTTAAAGCTAAATGTATTAAAGAACAAAATTTTGTGCCAGTCTTCAGCTCAAACCTGAAATTCTCTTTACCGCTCACGGTTAAGGCAAATGTCGGTTGGGAAAATATGTGACCTTTAATCAGTAAGTTAGCTAATTGACTTAGAAAAGTCTCAGTCCAAGGTTAAATTTCTTGATTCCTGTAGTATTGTATGTTCCTGTAAACTATCATCAGAGCTGTCAAAAACAAGGGGAGGGAGGTAAAAACTAAGCCAGGACAGAGTTTAGCCTGTCATAGCTGCTGGCACGCTTTCTTTTGGAAGCTACACCTAGAAACATGTCCCTCGTTAAATATCATTTCTTGGACTGTAAAATGCGGAGTTTTCTTTTTCGACTCTCATATTCTGGACTTAAGGGTTCCATATGTCTTTGTGGCTTAAACTACTGCATTTGTAGATAACTTACCAGACTTGAGGTGAACTGTGGCTGGCTGGTTTTTTGATCTTGGGGGGCTTCTTTGTGTAATTGGCCAATTATATATACATATGTAGTTAAGTTTAAAACATTGTCATTGGCCCTTGGCACTGCAGCTTGAGCACCAGATCAATCACTGGATCCCACCTTCAGCCCCTAGAGATCCCTGCAGGCACTTTCTCCTGACAGATGTGGTATATGATTTTTCTGCCTTTGCTAATTTGGCCAGAATTGAAGCTATTTTTAGTCCAGGGCTTGGTCATCAAACTTGATAAAAATATAAAAATAGCTACAGGTTGATCATCTGTTTTCACGACCCTTGGGCCAGATGTGGTTCAAGATTCAGGAGTTTTGGGGATACTGGAAAGATCTCACGGTGTGTATAACGTCTATCACACAGCACTCCCGTAGTCAGACTTTTTCGTATTTCTATTTCTGAATTATATTTGATATTTGACACTAAGTGGAAATACAAATGAAAGAGAATAAATTGCTTAACCTGAGTCCTTACCATGTTTTGCTGCCAAGGGAGTTTGTATCAAACTTGAGGAAAAGCTTCGTTTTCCAAAATTCGGGTGATTTTACAATTGCAGATAAGAGATTGTGGAACTATTGTACTCTCTTTTTTTTTTTTTGAGAATTTAAGCTAAACTTGAAAAGAAAAAATTTAAAAAAAAGCATTTATGCTAAACCATATCTAAAAGATTAGTTCTAGTCTAAGTGTTAACGCTTAGAATCAATTGTCCTTGTTCTAAATTCAGAAAAGACTCACCTTGACTTGATGGCCACACCTCTGTCTGACTCAACATCCTGACTCCTTTTTCCTGTCCTTCCCCTTCCAACAGGTTTTTCCTGCTTTTGGCCCATTCTTGCCTAATCCTTTATTTAGCTTTCTACCCTGTTGAGTTTTGCTGGTTATCCTCCCAAACCTTGGCCCAGCCATCCTCTGCAGAGTGACCTCTCACAGGAGTCTTTCCAAATTTCGACAACCCGTCCTCAGCAGGGGCTCTCTAACACCGCCTGTTACCTCTAGCTCAGCTCCCCTGCTCCTGATGGGCTCAAGGGCACCTTCTTTCTAACACCCTACAGAAAGATGTTCATTGACCATGGTGTGTCTCCTGACTAGAACCGTGTATTCTAGGGAGTATGCATTTTAATTCAATTTTATTATAATATTTTAGGTATCCCAGGAAGTTATAATATGGGTTTTTGCCAGTTACCTTTGTTTGATTTGAAATACCATTAATTCTGCCAGGTTCTTGTGTATATTTTGGTTCAGAATTGAGATTCCTTTTAAATTTTTTATTTGATAGATGCTACAAGAGAAGATATTGCTTCATATGATTTTGGAACTTGAATAAAGAGAATAAAGATTGTTACATGTGCACCAGAGATGATTACCCATTAGGTGGTTCTTTAAAAATAACAAACCAGTAATCTTAAATACTTGTTGGAATTAGGAAGGGGAGAATTGCAAAAAAATGTTTTTTTAAATAGTCATAATGGGTTTTATCTTGAATACTTGGCACTCAGACAACTATATTCCTTCGGAACCAATTTTGTGATTGAAATTTGTGGTTTTAGAAGTTGTCATGAAACTGTTATTCAAAGATTCTGAGAACTAGAGATATAAATCATATTCTGAGAAAAAGTCAAAGGGGTGAATGAAAAAGTACTTGAACATTTTCCATACACCTCATCAGGAACAAGTAAACATATTTGTTCAGTAAACTATCTTCCTAATGTGCTTGCAATCCTGTGACCCAGGCAGTCCGCCAAGGGACTAAAAATAGGCTGCCTTAGAAGAGAATGACTGATTTCTACTTAGGCATTCATTTATTTGGAGAGCTTAGTTGATATTTCCTGAAAGGAATGGAAAAACTCCCTAGCTGCCAAAAAACTTTTATCCTTAATTTCTCACAGTTAGCTCCAATTTGCAAAACAAGAATGATAAGAGTGAGAGACTGTGTGTTGGGAATAAGAAGAGGAAGACAGGAGAGCCCACCATGGCAGAGTTGCCAGAAAGGGTTTTGTGTGAAAACTCGAGGTCCTTTGAAGCGAGTGTTGGAAAACAATGTGACTGGAAAGGAGATTTCCTTGAGAGTCCTTTTTCCAGTTGGGAAGCAAAAATGAGTTCTGCACTTCCGGTGATAGGAACGGGTTCATTTCATGCTGTGTATCAAGAGATGGTGGACGGAGCTAAGCATCCTGGGCCAACAAATGGGCCTCAGGTTAAGCGGGAATTAAAACCAGTGGTTCTTAACACCAGAGCAACGGGTGTCCTCGGTCACAAAACCTTGGAATTCGGTTCTATTCCGGCCACTTGCTGCAAGTGAGATCTCTTCCTCTGGGGCAAATAGGTTGGCGTGCCTTTTGGGGGGTCTTTCCCATCGTGAAGCCAGGCTCTTCCCTTCCCTCCTCTCTGGAAGGCCAAGGGCGGGGGCTCCAGAAGAAATCCAAGTTGAGATAAGGGGCCTCTGGCAGGAGGGGAGCTTGGTATTTCCCTCTCAAGGTGGAAGTCAGGCAGTTTACTGAGCTGCCCCCTGGGACTGGCTGCCCCCTGGGTCTGGCCTGCGGGAAAAGAGCATCCCAGAGCAGTCCTGTGCTGAGAGACAAGCCCAGGACGGCTCACTGTTCCTGCTGTCATGGTGCAATGGAAGATGGCAGGCTTCCCATGACGTCAGAGGCGTGGCGTGGGAGTCGGGGGTGTCCGAGTGTGCTGCATTGACAGGGGACACTAGGAGAGATGGCCCAAAGCCGAGACATAGCGAAGGGGCCTGGAAGTGAGCCTCGGCAGGAAGGGCAGACCAGGAATGAGACGTGCAGTGGAGGCTACAAGCCCGAGAGACCCGCCTCCTCTTGCAGGGACCCAGGGAGACGTCTTCCCTCTCTTTTTGCCACCCCCTCCCCCTCAGGCCCCGGAGGATCTGCCACCTAGAAGAAGGAGGCTGGGACGCGTATGAGAATGCTCTCCCATCCCCAGCTGCTGGGGCGGCAGAGAGGGCCGTGCCCTGGGCTAGGAGAAGGCCGAGGAGCAGAAATGACAGTCTGAAAGTGGACTGACCCGTAGACTAGTTTGAAAATCTCCTTACTGAAGTACTTTGTAAATACAGACACGGGCACAAATTCTAAGCGAACATCTACCTGAATTTTCACAAGGTGACTGTGATCAGGTGTCAGCTCCCACAAGCCAGAACCCACATATAATCGGTACGGCCCTTCCTCTTTTCCTCTTCCAGGCAGCCCCACCCCTCCTTGGGGGCCTTCTGACTCCTAACACCCCAGGTGAGTTGGGGCCCCTTTCGTACATTACAGAAAGGGACGGCACAGCTCATGCTGTTTTGCCTCTGGTTTCCTTCACTTCACATTAGGTTTTGAGCAGCAGTGGGTCTTATGGGACTGGTGAGTCACAGACGTTACTAGAAATAGGACGAAGATGTGGTTAAGGTTCCTGCTTCTCAGAAGGAAAGGGGACACCACAGCCTACCTGGAGGTAAGTTTTAAAAATAATAAAGCCAATTCATGCTAGTATCCTAATTTCCTAATAGCAAGACTGGCTCTTCTTGGAACAAAAGAATAACCAAGCCATGGCTGTGGGTTTCCTTCTTACATTGGTCAGGGTGCTGAGTTGCCATCCGTGGATGAAGACTGTCTGTCCTTCCAACTCCAGTGCCCGTGGTCCTTTCCAAGAGTGATTAGGCAAGAGGGCAACGTGTCTGATACACAGATCATGTTGAATACGGTGGAGATGTATTAGAAGAAAACCAAGGCTGACTCATTAAGGACTATGTGCATTCATTATCTCATTCTCAGCTTATGCAACTTATAAATGTCAGAGGAGATTTAAAAATACTCCATCAGCTTTTAACGGACTCAGGAACAAATGAAAATACAAGCACAAGATTTTTTCCACGTTAAAATTTTAATCCATTTTTCTTATAGAAACATCCCCCATTTGTATCAGGAATATGAAAACATCAGTGATTATATGTGTATATAGGTAAACTTGTATATAAGTTCATTCCAATTTACACACACACACACACATTCTTTTTAATTTTGGAACTAATTTCAAAGTGACAGGAAAGTTACAAGAGTGGTACAAAGAATTCCTACTCCTCTTTGCCTAGAGACCTCATTCCTATTTACTCAACTGTCCTAATATTGTCTCATCAGCCTTCTGCCCTGTGCAGTCTTTCCTCAGTCCCTCCTTGAACTGGTTACAGGCCACTTACTTTTCAAAATACCCCTCAGTCAGTTGGTTCACAGTGTCCTCGGGTTGGATTTGGGTTATACATCTCGAGCAGGAATATTGCACAAGCTATGGTGTTTTCTTCGTTGCATTTCCTTCCAGAGTACATGAGGTCGCCCCTCACATTCCATCCCATGGTTCGCTGTGCTGATCTGTCCCATCACCTCTGATGTTAACTTTGATCCCCTGTGTAGAGTGGGGTCTATAATTTTGCTCCCCCATAAAATGGCCCGTGTTTCCTTTATAACTAGTAATTATTTTGTGAGGAGGTAACTCAAGTCAGATGCTACGATTTCTTCTCCATTTCTAAGCAGGTGTTCTACTGTGAGGTAGAGCTCCCACCTGGCTATTTATATATTGATTTATATCAGTGAGGACCTGGAGATTCTTGTTTTATTTGATAGGGGATGATATCCTACTACCATTTTTTATTTCAATGCTTGGGTCATTTCGTGTTTGACCAGTGGAAACCCCTGCAAGCCAGCTTCCGTGTCTTCTTGACATGTCCCATCATTCACTGTATTTCTGGCAAGGTGTTCAAGGCCCATCTTAATTTTTCCTGGCCCAGCCCTGGAATCACCCATTTCTCCAAAACCTTGTTAAAATAATATGAATAGAAACATAAATACACATATGTTGAAAATCACATTTTTGTACTAACTAGTCCAATTTCAATCCAATCCGGTAGAGTTCATTCTAGCCTTCCGTCTTTTCATACCCTTTTCTCACCCAAGGGTAAGAGAAGATAAAAATTAAATTGCAATATTAGGTGGCCTAATGAAATGTTTATGACCCTGGTTCTCGTCTGTTGGAGAAGTTCACTGTGTCCTTGTGGCCTCGAGCCATTTCACACTTACATAATCCCATCTTTGGTGGGGTTGTGTTTGCCAAGGTTGCAGGTATAGGAAAACCCGAATTCTTGGCACCATCAGGATCCCCTAGAAAAGGTTGATGAGATGGACCCTTCGTGTGAAATCCAAATTATGTCACATGCTATCCAGTGAATGAAGAGCACAATTATGTTTGAAATTTTACAAACTGGAACAGGTGTTTGTCCCAAACAAATGATTGCCCTTTGGCGTGCTTAAAGAGGGTTACTTCTTAAATGCCCCTTGAAGCTGGTTAGTCTTGTTTACTAATAAATGATTACAGGGTAAAAAATACTCGCCCTACCATGTGTACTTAATCATAAGTTGCTTGAGTACCTAACATTATGGATGTGTTTTATTGGCCTACTTAGAGACCAAAGCACTTGCTAAATACCAAATTACTAGACCCCCCCCCCCCGCCGGCCACTTTACAGATCATGAAATTGAGGTCGAAATAATTTTAGTTAACTTGCCCCTCTTGGCAGAAAGGGGTTGAGGTCAGATTTGACCCCAGGCAGTGTGGCCCCACAGGCTCCATGTTTAGCAATCACACTCAGCTGTCCACAGGAAATTTTGGAAGATGTGTCGTCTGAAAAACCATACCTATTCTGCATCATGGTAATAGATATGCCTTGTGACCAAAATGAACCGAGACAATTACCTTGAGCATTGAGAACCAACCCATTTCCCCTGATCATCCAGCCTCCATGGGTACAGGCTGTTGAGTTTTCAGGGTAGAGGTGAGAGTGGGAGGCGGGGGCAGGATGAAAGCAGGGAGGCTCAGTGAGTAGCTTTGCCCATCATTTGCCTTATTTGGAGCTATCAGATCCAGGCCCGGGGTAAAATGTATTCAAAGTAAATCTATTGCTTGTTAAAACTGCCCCCCCAAAGAGTGAGAGAGCTTCTCTGTGCTTCCTCTCTGCACACACCACTAGACCAATGGGCTGTACACTCACTGGTGTGTTACCCTGAAAACAGCTGATGAGAGAGCCCAATGTGTGGTCTGAGCTTCCATTGTCATCCCCAGCCCCTCTCCCATGGTGGGTGCGCTGCAGGATGGAACAGCCAGAAGAAGACTCCAGACCTTGACTTTGTGCTTGATTTGTGTTTCAGATTGTTGGGCTGATCGATCCCCTCTTCATGAAGCTGCAGCCCAGGGGCGCTTACTGGCCCTTAAAACTCTAATTGCACAAGTAAGTAAACCATAGACGTGCTCCTTTGTGCTTCCGCTATAATCGGTGTTGTGCTTCCGGAGCTTTGGCTGTGGCAGAGGTCTTGCTCGCCCCATCTGGTGGCCCGCATAGCCAGTCTAGGTGTACGTATCGCTCCCTCCCCTTCTGGGCCGCCTGCCTTGACCCCAGAGGAAGTTTCCCTGGGATGGGGACAACAGATGCCCTCAAATTTTCCTTGCAGTAACTCCCCCTGTCCTCTCCCAGCATGCTTGAGTAACAATGGCCTTGAACTTGCATTCGTCAGCTATTACCGCATAACAAATGACCTCAAAATCACAGTGGCTGAAAACAAGGAGCACAGATTCTCGAACTTTCTGTGGGCTAAGGAGTGGCCTGGCCAGATGGTTGTGGCTCTGAGTCTCTTACGGGCAGCCAAGTACCAGCCAGGGCTGCAGTCACCTCCTAGCTTGGTGGGGGAAGATCTGCTTCCAACCTCACTCATGTACTTGTGGGCTGGCTTCAACTCCTTGCCATGAGGGCCTCTCCACGGGGCTGTGCCATGAAATGGCAGCTGGCTTCCCCCAGAGAGAGCACGAGACAGTGCCTAAGAAGCAAGTCCTAGTATAACCTAATCTCCAGAGTGATGTCCCATCACTTCTGCCATATTCTATTCATTAGATGGGAGTCAGTGAATCCAGCTTTCAGGAGGAAAGGAGCACACGGTGAGCCAAACCCAGGAATCAGGGGTCACGGAGAGCATCTCAAGAGCAAACATTACAATAGGCTGACGTAGATTTATGAAATCTTTTGGAAAATTTGTGAAAGTCTTAGTTATTAAGGCTACTTTGTTTTTATTGATGACTGTATCTCCTAGCACCTTGAACAATGAATAACGGCTTAGTAAATATTTGTAAAATGAATGAACAAAAGTATACATGCTCCATTTACTTTGTTTGTTTTAGACTCTGCATGTGTATAGAGGAGGTGATTTATTATATCTTCTTTCCACATTCTAGCTACCACCGAACCTGGCTTCCTTGTCATTTTGAATTTAAGCAGCTGGGTACACTGGTGTGTGTGTGTGCACATATGCGTGCACATGTACACACACATATGCACGTGCACACACTTTTTTTTGGCTTCCTCTTTTATGAGCTGGGTTACTTCTTAAGAAAGTAGAGGCAAAAGAAAAACAGTACTGCCAATAATGATCAAATGGATTTTGTATGTGATTTTTATCACTTGCTCATTTATTTTTAAGCACCTACAATTGGATCTGATTATTTTTAATATGTAATACATTCCCATAGTTTGAAAATTAAAGTGATACTTAAAGGTGAAAAGTCTTGCATCCACCTCCTCCCTCTCGGCCCTCCTCAACACTTTTATTAGTATTTTTTTTTTAAGTAAGCTCCACACCCTGCATGGAGCCCAATGTGGGGCTTGGTCTCATGACGCTGAGATCAAGACCTGAGCTGAAATCGAGAGTCAGGCACTTAACTGGCTAAGCCACCCAGGCACCCCTCATTAGTATTTTTTAAAAATAAACTTTTAATCTTGGAATAATTTTAAAGATAAGTTGCGAGGAGAGTGCAGATACCTCCCACCCTTCACCCAACTTCCCCTGGTGCTAATATCCTACATAAGCATGTACTTCGGTCAAAACTAAGACAATAACATTGGTACAGTAGCGTTAACTAAACTACAGACTATTAGAATTACACCTGTTTTCCCACAGAGTCCTTTTTCTGTCCCAGGCTCCAATCCAGGATCCCGCATTGCCTTTAGTACTTCTTCATTTTTATTTTATTTTTTAAAAAGATTTTACTTATTTATCTGAGAGAGAGTGAGAGAGAGCATGAGGGGGAGACAGTCAGAGGGAGAAGCAGACTCCCCACTGAGCAGGGATCCCAATGCAGAGCTCAGTCCCAAGACTCCAGGCTCATGATCTGAGCCGAAGGCAATCGCTTAACCAACTGAACCACCCAGGCGCCTCTCTCTATTTTTTTTTAAAGATTTTATTTATTTGACAGAGAGAGATCACAAGTAGGCAGAGAGGCAAGCAGAGAGAGAGAGAGAGAGAGAGAATGGAGGAAGCAGGCTCCCTGCCTAGCAGAGAGCCTGATGCGGGACTTGATCCCAGAACCCTGAGATCGTGACCTGAGCTGAAGGCAGAGGCTTAACCCACTGAGCCACCCAGGCAGTCCTGCCTCTCTCTATTTTTAACTATACTCCATAAGCATGTTGGTTTCTGTAAACCAGTGTGCTTAAATGTATGAGGAGTGTTCTTCAGAAGGAAGTTCAACTTTTTCACTGCGCATGCCCATTTCTTCACACTTACACCCTAGTGCAAAATGTATTATTCTATTTTATTTTTTACTTTATTTCACGTACAGTGGGGTGGAGAAAAGCATTAAACCAGGCATCAGGAGCTCCTGACTTTCAGAGTCATCTGGCTGTCATCAACCCCTGGGAAGCCTTGAGTTTTATGAATAATTTGAACTTTCTGCCTCTCCATTTTCTCATGCACAGTGGAGGGGATTCACTCTAGATGGTCTTTCAGGCGCGTCCAGGCATTACGTATGCACAAATGCAGGGGTTCTTACACCTTGCCAAGGATGCAAGTTTTTTTTTTTTTTTTCTAGTGCGCTGCTGCCACCTTGTGGATGAGCCTGTTTTTCTTATTTTCTTAAAAGGAAATCAGGGGCGCCTGGGTGGCTCAGTGAGTTAAAGCCTCTGCCTTCGGCTCAGGTCATGGTCCCAGGGTTTTGGGATTGAGCCCCATATCGGGCTCTCTGCTCAGCGGGGAGCCTGCTTCCTCCTCTCTCTCTGCCTGCCTCTCTGCCTACTTGTGATCTCTGTCGGTCAAATAAATAAAATATTAAAAAAAAAAAAAGGAAATCCTATCTAGGAAAATGGCAAGATTTTTCTAATTGTAATAATTACCTAATTTGAAATCTATAACACGGCTCTAGTGTAATGACATCATATTCAGGACACGAGAGGGGACAGGACCAAGGAGGCATAGAGAGGCCCTAAGATGAAGGGAGCAGGAGTCGTGGGCAGTTGTGGGCACCGGGGGCAGTCTGGCAGGAGTCGGTGGGAACTTAGGTGGGGGGTTGGGGTTCAGGGTCACGCAGTAGGTTTTGGAAGCTTTCAATGAGCAGGTGAGGAGGCAGGAAATCAGAAGCAGAACTTGGCTGGGAAGGACTGGCAGGGACCTAACTCATTTCCCAGAGAGAAAGCGGTCCTCAGCGGGGCGGGGATGGTAAGGACCAAGTTGTAAAAATCAGGGCATGAAGTCAGAGTTGGCCAACAGCTAGGCTGATCTTGTCATCCGTCACATGGACTCCGAGAGGAGGAAGGTGGAATGTGGCAGGAAGAGGAGGGGGATGTGCTGGAACTGGGTAAGGAGGTGAAGTTTGGGGGAAGCCCCCAGGCCCCTAGATGCTGGTACTGCAGAGACCCCTCCACGCTGCGGGGTCATGGCCCCCCGCAGTGTGCTTCTGGCACAAGGATCCTAGGAGCCCTCTCTCCTTGACTCTGTACTTTTCAGCCCAGGACTGGCTGCCATTTCTATTACTAATGCAGCCTTTCACCCCTTCTCTCCAAATTCTAGGGTGTCAACGTGAACCTTGTGACCATTAACCGGGTCTCTTCGCTCCACGAGGCGTGCCTTGGAGGTCACGTAGCCTGCGCGAAAGCCTTATTGGAAAAGGGCGCACACGTGAGTACCGCCCTCCCCGCCCCCTGCCCCCGCCCCCCACATCCCTGCCCCCCCGCGGCTCTGTCTGCGCAGGTGCACCTGCTAGCGTCTACAGAGATGCTACCTTCCAGACAGCGCACGCCCTGGGGGTGTAGGCAGGTCTGGCCCTGTCCGCGTGCACATTCCCGAGCCAGTGACACACTGCGGGTCCCTCCCCTCTTCAGTGTCTGTGCCTGTGGATGAACATTCGATAAGGTAATTCACAGGACTCTTTGAAAATTGTGATGGTGAATTTCAAAAGATCAACGGGAACTGAAGTTATTTGAAAACGGCTCTTGGGAAATGGATCGGGAAACATGAAAAAGAGCACAATTTAAACGAACAACAACAGAAACACTCTTAATGCGACACCTTAAACCCACTATTTTCATTGAGCAAAATCACCCTGTGAGCTTCTTCGTAAAAAATACACGGGAAAAAAATCCAACAGCATGAACTTTATCTTATTTTAAAATTCTACCCTTATTTCTCTTCTTGTTTTGCAGATTTATTTTATTTTTATGTCGTTTTTAACTCTAGTGTAGTTAACATACAGCATTACCCTAGTTTCGGGTGTGCAATACGGTGATTAACCGTTGCCACACATCACCCCGTAGCCTCAGTTCAAGGCTAAGGAGGGGTTTAGGTGCTGTGTGTAATGAGCTATCACAATAGAATTGTAAAATTAAAACTTCTGAAAATCTCAGGGATGTTTCTTTAGTTGCCAGCTATCGGTTTGTTGCTAATTTTGGTTTTTAAATTCAGTGCCTGTGTTCTTTGTTTCTGGAGCTGCAATGTTTGTAAGTGCTTTTGGGAGATTTTCTTTAGCACTTTATGTGGCAGTTGGGTTTCTATGGTAGAACTCAATAGGAAAGTCTTTCTTGGGCAAAGCGTTGCTCCTGATGCCATCGCGAGCACATATTTTTATTAGGTTACCACTTACTCAAATCCCACATAATGATGATGGCGAGGCTGGGTGAGGGCCACTTCCTTTTTTTTTTTTTTTTTCCCTTTAAGATGTATTTATTGAGCGGTACCTGGGTGGCACAGTTGGTTAAGTATCTGCCTTTAGCTCAGGTCATGATCCCGGGGTTCTGGGGATCAAGCCCCACATCAGTCTCCCTTCTCAGCAGGGAACCTGCTTCTCCCTCTCTCCCTCTGCTGCTCCCCCTACTTGGGCTTGCTCTCTCTTTCTCTCAAATAAATAAACCAATACAAATAAAATCTTTTTAAAAAATTCATTTATTGATGTATCTGTTCATTTGGGGTGGGCGGAGGGGCAGAGAGAGAGAAACCCAAGCAGACTCCATGCTGAGTCTGACGTGGGGCGCCATCTCACGACCCTGAGATCATGACCTGAGCCAAAACCCAAGAGTCCGACGCTTCACTGACTGCCCCACGCAGACACCCCAGAGGGCCCTTTCCTTCTCTCGGTGGAAAAGGGCAAACAACATCCGATTGTAGAGGAGTGTGTGCTGGTACAACACTGGGAGGTTTTGTGAAGGACAAAGAAGAGAGTAAGACACAGTCCCTTGGTTGTGGCAATCTTATGAGGGAAGAGTCGATAAATATTGTCTTCCTTAACATTTAAATCAGAAGGAGAGAGAGAATCAAAGCAAGTTGGTTAGTCAGTAGAAAATTCCTCAAAACTGGCAGCCCTGTGGTTTTCTCAAACTCAGTGTGTCTGAAGCTTTGGTTAGGATATTCTTCCGTGGGGGACCGCCCCTCCTCAGAGACCCGGCGACATACATTCCTGCTTTCCGTGTTCCAAACCTGGGCTCAGCCTAGATCTTCTCTCTCCCCCATTAATTAATGCCCACATCCTGCTCCTTTTCCTGCTGAAATATTTCTCAAGTCTGTACTTTCTTTTGTCTTGCTTCTAAGGGTGATCTAAAGCGATTTCCTTACTAGCCTTGGCTTCTGAAACCCTGGTGCCTAATAGGTGCTCAATAAATGTTTGCTGACCTGAACTGAGGAACTTAGGAAATCAAATTTGAAGACTTTCAGAATGAAGATGAGGATGATTCTCATAAGAACAAATCAAATGAAACCAGCCCTACTGAATGTTTTTTGGTGAAAGTGTAAATAGGTTAGAAATCCCTAGACTGTATGAATTCACACACATTTTGGCCCGTCCTTGCCTGTCTCTGCCACCTTAGCATCTCCTCTTTAACTTTCCAATTTAACAGGGGCTATCCTGGCACTGTGGAGAGATATCTTTTATTGTTTCTTTTTTAAAAGATTTTATTTATTTATTTATTTGAGAAAGAGAGAAACAGAATGAGTAGGGGGAGGGGCAGGGGGAGAGGGACAAGCAGACTACCGGCTGAGCAGGGAGCCATACTCGGGGCTTGATCTCAAGACCCTGGGATCATGACCTGAGCCAAAATCAGATGCTTAACCAACTGAGCCACCCCTTTTCTGATTTCTGAAATAAGAAATTTAGGGTCCTGATTATCACAAGCATATATCCTCAGTTGTTGAGGCAAATGCTTTGACATCAAGCCTTCACTGTCCTCCATTTCAGTCTTGTCAGAGCCTCCCCACCAGAATGTCTTGGTTCTCTGATGTTCATCCCAATCCATTGCTGATACTCAAAGATGCCTCCCACACCCCTAGAAGGCAGTGAGGGTGGCTAGAGACGCTATATTGATGGCTATTTTCTTTGTGCCTTTGACTGGATCACAATCTCTTTGGGAGTCACTGCCCACACGTGTAGTTTGTACGAATTCTAGTAGACCAGTATGGAAATCTGTGACAACAAAAATCTCCTCAGGCACAGATTTGGGGACCTGGATTCTTCAGCCTTTTTGGTTCCTGCCATGTTGGTTCATGATTGGGAGGCGGAGTCAGACCCTTATTCATGGAAAGTGAAGAAAATTGTTGCAAACGCTTATATGCTTACTGGGCATGGGGCAACATTCTAAGTGTTTAACATGTTGTAATTCACTTGACCCACCCAATAACCTCTTGAGGTAGATTCTGTTATGATCCTCCTTTAAGGAAACTGAGGCACAGAAAGTTAGTATCCCAACCAAGATCTCTGAACAGATAGAAGAGAGGGTGCTGGGATTTGAACACAAGCTAATGATTCCAGAAGCCATGTTCTTAACCACCCAATAGGACAACTCCTCAATGATTAGGAGGCTCCTTAGAAGTTCTGGAATACCCCTGAATACATTTGAAAAGCTTTTTCCCATTTTGCCACTTGGGATATTACTTAGAGGTGATAGTTGATAGGCTACTGGTATATCTAAAAAAATGTAATACCGTAATGATGTGGGGTGCCCTCGCTCACTCACCAACCTGGAACATTCCTCCAGGCAGATGCACAGGAATACACGCTTGGAAACAGAGAGAGAAAACTGGCAAATTCTCTGGGTCTCTTGCTTACCATCAGGTCAACGGAGTGACAGTGCACGGAGCCACGCCCCTGTTCAACGCCTGCCGGAGCGGCAGTGCTGCGTGTGTCAACGTGCTGCTGGAGTTTGGAGCCAAGGCTCAGCCAGAGGTGCACTTGGCCTCACCCATCCATGAGGCAGTGAAGAGAGGTAAGTGGGCCGTCACATTGCACACACCACATTGGTGGGCTCACTGCGAACTGCACGAGTCAGCGGTACCGTGTCACCGCGCAAGAAATGCCCAGACCTTCACTGGTAGGCTGTGTGTGGCTTAGGGTCCCAGAGCAGCAACTTCAGAGTGCCCGAATCTTCTGGAAATGCTGCTGGGGCATCCAACCGCCCCTCTTCGGACCTGGGAATGGGTTTTTGTCTCAGATGTCGCATGTCCTGGGGAGTCAGTCTCTTGGCAGCCCTTTCTGGAAGCTCTTTGCTGGTGTTTTGGGAGCAGCGGGGCCGGTCAGGGCTGCAGTGTGACTTCCATGAGCAGTACTTTGCTAATGTCTCTGTCTTTACTAGAAGAGATCAGCTCATCTCCCAAAGCCCATAAAACCTCGACCACTAAAATAAATTATGAAAGCGTCTGAAAGCCAAGGCTGATCGGATTCTTAATGGAAGATTAAATGTAGTTGTCCACAACAAGGAACATACTCTTTCTAGATGAGCTGCTGACTTCAGGGTCATTAGTTATTGAAAAAAGGTTGCAACTTTAAAAAGCGTGTCTTTAGAAACCTTGAAGTTGATTCTAGACGCCTGTGTTCTCAGTTACTTTTGAAAGGAGGAAGAGAGTAAGATGAAGGTCTTTAAAAACTCCATGCATCGGCTAGACATGAACAAGAAGATGTCACTGAAAGGCCAAGGCCCTTTGTCAAAGGTCACACTGAGAAAGCAACATTTCTGTTACCCAGAGGTGGAGTTATTCTCTTTTACTGAGATAAGAAATAAAATGGGGAAGTTAGAACACCGTGGAACAGTGATCTTTGCTGGTCTAATTGGGGATGAAAGTCTTTATTTCCAAAGGCAATAATGAAAGATTTGCCCCGGGTTGTTAAACATGTCACTTGGTAATTTTCTTTTGCAGTGGATTATTTTTTTTCTGTGCTTTTATTTTTTCCCCATTTTTTAACAGTTGAGGTATAGTTAATGCACAGTGCTATATTCATTTCAGGTGTACAATATAGTGATCCAACACTCCCATTCCCCACCCCGTTCTCATCCCACGTGTACCCTTCAGCCCCCTCGCCTGTTTCACCCAGCCCCCCACCCCCTTCCCCTCTGGCAACTGGCAGTGTGTTCTCTGTATTTGAGTCTGGCTTTTTGTCTTTTTCTTTTCCCCTTTGTGGATTAATTTAAATGAAACAAAAGACCCAAATCTCAATGTATCTATGATTTTCATGTCTTATACATATTTAATAAACATGTATTGATTAAATAACTGATGCCGGTCATTTCCCAGACTCCAAGTACATTCTTTAAATTGAAGGGAAATGGTCTACTTTGGAAATGATCTAAAAGTCTTAAATTTTTTTTTTAATGTTGACTTGAAGTAAAGATTCATCTGTTAGTTGCATTTCCATCCAAATATTTAAAAATGGATTACTATTGGGAATGATTTGAATTACTGAAGCTATTCTGTGGTATTTGGATGGTTTTATATTGGGAGTGTTTGGTATCTATGTACTTACAAAATATATACAAACTTATCATAAACACATCAATTCATGGGTCTCTATGTATTTTTTGGTCTGTATCTACAAGCATGTTGGGGACCAATATCCACAGAATGGAAGAAAGAAGAGCAAATTCATTGTTTTAGATACTGTGATATTAGTGCTAATATTTTATATGTTAATTTTATAAAACTTCCTGTGAGTACTTGAGTTTAACTCAGACCAGGCTCAGTTTCTTCTGCAAAGAAAAAGAAAAAATTAAAAGGACAGGAATTATTTAAAAATGTTTATTAGATACCCAGGCAGTTTGAGGTACTGATTACATATTATTTCTGGATTCTTTAAACCTCTGCAGACAGACTAGGTCAGTCTGAGTCCATACTTTGACGTATTGATGCCATAATCCCAGTATAATATTTACTTATGTGAACAAATAGCTTGGATTCATAGGGTCCTTATTTGTACATTTTAATGCATATTTCTACTTAATTTAGCATTTCTGATAAATCAGCCAGGTTTGAGATGAAGCTTGCTTTTATGTTATAAAGAAAAGATCGGTAAAGTGATGGTAAGAGTTGTTTTTTTAAGAAAACACTTAAATCTTCAAAGAGAACAACTTCTTTATAAGCTCCCATCAATTCCTCAGAAGTATTTGCTCCTGATCAAATCATTTGTATGTTGCAAATTACTCAAGTCTGTTCATTGGGCAGCCTCTCCAAAGACAACGTTGTCTACATACTTCTTGTTAGCCACCAGATGGGAAAGTGCAATTAAATATATCTTATATTTGAGGATTTAAAGGTGCAATTAAATATATTCTATATTCAAGGCTTTTTATTCTCAGAGGTGTCTTCGAGGTTAACCAAAATAAGGAGGGACGGCCATACATGGGTGAAGCAGAGAGTGAGATACTTGTAGCAGAGAGGGATCCGGGCTGGGCCTCACGTCGGAGTGTTGGCTTTTCAGGGGGGCAGTAGGACGAGTCGTTCACCCCCCTGCACCTTGCAGCCTGTATTTATAAACTGGCTTCATTGCAGAGAGTGATTTCAGCTGAGCTCCTTGGAGCCCTTCGTCTAGTTGGAAGGTATCTCAAGGCGGCAAAGGGGAATTTGAGTGAGGAACTATGAGCATGCTTTTCTTTTTAATGGTTTTGATTTTGGCGTTTTCTAAGATTTCCCCTCCTCCAATTTTTTTTTCTGCTTAAAAAAAAATCTAAGTTATTTCTAAAGCCCATTCCAGATAAGCAATTCTATAGTTCTATAAATAGTCAATATTTCCCTTACTTGAGTAAGGTTATCTTTTTTCCCCCACCAGGTCATAGAGAGTGCATGGAGATCCTGCTGGCAAATAACGTTAACATTGACCAAGAACTGCCTCAGCTTGGAACTCCCTTGTATGTGGCCTGCACCTACCAGAGGGTAGACTGTGTGAAGAAACTTCTAGAATTAGGTAACTTCCAGAAAGTTTTTTTATGAGAGGAACCTCTTTGTTGGTTTCCCATGGCTTTAAAGACAAAGTTCTTGTCAGGCTGGACAAAATCCTGACAGTATTTGATGTTTGAATGCTTGAAATCACAGAACTTTTAGAGAAATGAGTATCTACTTCCTTTGATATTGGCTCCATTTACCTGGTATGGTTGTCCTTGGTGGTTTCAAGAGAGAATTAGAGTTTCTTTCCCATAAGTCCTAGTGGGAAAAAACAATTTTATTTCATTGGCTCTTTTTGAGTCACATGCCCATCTCTGAGCCAATCATGGTGGCCAGAGGAGTACAATGTGCTGATTGGCTTAGGCCTAAATTTCAGTCTAGACTGAAGTTGTTGGGTTTCACTGGAAGCACATGAATTGGGAATCACAAGGGATGTTTCCCCAGAGGGAAATCTAGGTGTGGTTATTAGGAAGATGCCAGATAGCAAAAATAACAGACATTTGCCATTGACTCCTTTAGATCAATCCTCCTAAGATCCTTAATAACCTTTTAATTTTTTTAATTATTTTTTTAAAAAGATTTTAAAATGTATTTTAGAGAGAGAGAGAGAGAGAGAGTGAGCATGAGGGGAGGGGCAGAGGGAGAGGGAGAGAGAATCCCAAGCAGATTCCCTGCTGAGCATGGAGCCCAATGCAGGGCTCGATCTCACGACCCTGAGATCATGACCTGAGCTGAAATCGAGAGTCGGACACTTACCTGAGTCACCCACCTGCCCCCTTAGTAACCTTTTAATTCTAAAAGGCATAATAGAAACTGAGAGTCCAGGAAAAAGTAGAGTGTTTTGAAGTATTACTTGGTTAAAGGTTCGCCAAACTTAGCTACTGACATAAAGGTAGAGTCTGTACTATGAACCTTTAAATAAGAATTTTTATCTCTAAGATATTTTTTTCTCTTTTCATCCCCCATCAGTTACTACTCCCTGTAGTAATTCAGAAATCTTTTTTTTTTGAGCCCAGAATAAGAGAAATACCAAAGAAACTTCACTTTGCCCTTTGCCAAAAACCAAAATAATAATTCTGTGTAAAAGGAGAAGCAAATATTTAATTGTACTTGTCACACAGTTCATACGGGAAAGCAAGTGACGTATTCTAAATGACTAAAATTACCTTTCTTCACTTTTCTCATCAAAATAGTTTTAGGTGGTCTGAGTAGCTGTGGCTGAGGTTCTCGGCATATGTCATATATTTTCAAAGATCTGTCAAACACGTCATGACAAATCAGATGCCTTGATCTGAGCTACTGTATTTTCGACTCTTGGTGTTCCCATGGTAACGTTTTATGTTGGCTTGTGGTCATCTGCTCTCTTCAGGAGCCAGTGTGGACCGCGGCCAACATCTGGACACTCCCCTGCACGCAGCAGCGAGGCGGTCCAGCGCGGAGGTCATCCACCTCCTGGCCGACTATGGGGCCCCCCTAAAGTGCAGAAACGCAGAGGGCAAAAGCGCGCTGGATCTGGCCACTCCCAACAGCAGCGTGGAGCAGGCACTCCTGCTCCGGGAGGGTAAGGAACGGGCTGGGTGTCCACTTCTCCTCCATAAGCACATTGGCTCTCTCTCCTTCCTGTCTCACCTCCAGACTTCCCTACCTTTGTTCTTCTCTCGATTTGATTGCAAGTAGCATGTGGTAGGCAGTGGGTCTCACTTGCATCGCTGGGGTGAGATCTTATAGGTTTTGTCTGTTCACTTATCACAGAATGGCCTTTATACATGGCTGGTATGTCACTGTGTATTTTCCATAAGGAGAAAAGAATCCAAGAACTTGGTTTTCACCATGAGGAGGTTGAGCTGCCACATCTGTCCTGGTCTAAGTGCACAACTGTGTAGACCAGAAGTCTGCTTTGCGGTATTCGGGGGAATTAACGGTACTTGAGCTAGAGGCTGTAGGGTGGACACAGAGTGTGTATTTCAGACACTGGCCTAGACGGCAAAGTTGCTTGCCTGATCTGTTTCTCCATCTCGGGGAGTACGTGGCTCTGAGCCCTCCATTGCCTTGCTCCCGTTTCCACCGTGAGCTGATGGAGCTACAGATACCAGAGGAGAGAAGGCAAATCTCTAAAGTGCACTGCGTTTCAGATTCAGAAGTGAGCCAAGCGAAGTCCACACAGAAAGAGAACTTCACCCGAGCCTGTCCTGATCACTTGTGTGCCTGGGAGACTCTTAAGAAATAATAGTAATTATTCAGCTTTATGCATATGTCATGCACTGAGCTAAATTGGAAACCTAGATGAATCTCCCTGAGTTGTGAAAACTTGAAAGCAGGGAGAACTTTCGAGTAACTGGTGGTAGCCCAGCTCCAGACGGGAAAAGAGAAATCTGAAGACACTGGCTTGCCGAAGGCTGTGTGACTCCTTGGAAGAACTAGGATTCCAGCCCAGCAGTTTGACCTCAGAACATGCACTCTTATGTCATGCCGGTTCTATCCCAAACCTTCTGAAATAGTTTCTGGGGGAGACGGTTTTTACTTTACTCACCAGTTCCCATTTAGGAAATCATCTCGTCTTCTAACACCTTCCCAGTGGAATGCTTGGTTGAATAATTTTAGGCATACTTTTGAGGTCCGTGCTTCCTGAGTTCTGCTGTGAGTACGAATCACCAAGGGGGGGGGTGTCTCATTAAACTGCAGATTTGGATCCAGGAGGTCTGCGTTGGGGTCTAGACTCGGCACACCTACCGGGTTCCCAGGTGATGCTGTTGCTAACCCTGCTCTGAGGCCTCGCTTGGAGTATTGCTGGTCTAGATGATCTCCGGTAGTCTAGATCATTTGTGATTACTCTTTTAGTTGAACCTCCACTTGAAGAATCACGATCTTCCTTTCCAGCTCCCCGTTTGGAAATGCCAGGTCCCTTCCCAACTCTCAGCTGAGAAGATGTCCTATAGCACCTGTCATATCTCCTCTTTTCTTCTATCAAAAATGTTTCCAGGTCCAGGATTTAGATTTTTTCTAAACGGGTTCTTCTATCTTCTGTTGTCAAAAATACAGTGGCTTCCTCCAGAAGGATGAGCACCAGCTCTGTCAGAAGTCACTCTGGCATCTGAGCTCCTGTAGGCAAACTGGACAATCCGTCTGCATTACTGTTTTCCAGAGGAGCTTTAGTTGGGTGACGGGTAGAGAGGCTTTCCATTCTTGCTGCCCAAGATTTTAACTGAGAGCAATTATTTGCTCTTTCTATCACATGGCTGGTCCTTAGAAACATCAGATCAAACGTGATCTAGTCATTTGCATATGCAGTACACCATTTCTCGTGGGGTGTGAGATCCTGGTACAGTAGGATCTTCTTGACAAGGACAACCTTGTGTCGTCCGCTAACCACACAGGTCTATCTGAAGAGATCTTTACCAGTACATTCAGGTCAGGGAATAATGGGACGTTACAAATACCTTGGTATAACTAGTATTCCAGCCTAAATCTCCTTTGTCCTACTCAACCATATTTTGGCTCTCATTACTTTCCTTCAGCCACTCAAAGCCATGGGTGTGATGACTCCATGAACCTCCTTGAGACTGAGGTCCTGGGCATAATGGGGGTTAAGCAAGTTGAGTCCGTTCGCTAGGTCCTCTATTGAGCTGGGAGCCTGGCGCAAATGGAGGGCCTCTCCTAGTAGGACTTGGCACCTAATAGCACCACCTTGTGAGCGGCCTGAGCCAGGAGGTCCTGGAGGCCTCTGTGACCACACAGGCCCCAACACCTGCTCGGCACTTAGCCCTTGCTTGGCAGCTCTGTCTCAGGCTCCTGCCTGCTGAGTGCCTCTATTCAGGTTTTCTCCTTGGCCAGCATTAACACATTCATTGGCACGTCTAGTGCATGAATGGAGTGCATTCCCTTTAGTTATTTTTCAAATTTTTAACTGAAATTCAATTTAATTAACACATAGTGTATTATTCATTTTAGAGGTGGAGTTCAGTGATTCATCAGTTGCATAGAACACCCAGTGCTCATTACATCCCATGCCCTCCTCAATGCCCATCCCCCAGTTACCCCATCCCCCACCCACCTCCCCTGCAGCAACCCTCAATTTGTTCCTTATAGTTAAGAGTCCCTATGGTTTGCCTCTCTCTCTGGTTTCATCTTATTTTATTTTTCTTTCCCTTCCCCTTTGTTCATCTGTTTTGTTTCTTAAATTGCACATGAGTGAAATCATATGGTTTTGTCTTTCTCTGATGGACTTATTTCCCTAAGCATAATACCCTCTAGTTCCACCCATGTCGTTGGAAATGACAAGATTCCTTCTTTTGGATGGCTGAGTAACATTCTATTGTATGTATACACCACATCTTCTTTATCCATTCCTCCACTGGTGGACATCTGGGCTCTTTCCACAGTTTGCCTACTGTGACATGAAATGCAGTCCCTTTAGACCTCATGCTTAATTCCTGGATTGCCTCTGCTTAGCCTCAGTCTTCAGTGTCACTAATACAATTATCTTTAGAGGGTCAGCTTAAATGTGTCCCCACCCCGGGGGGGGGCAAACTGGGGTCCCTGTGTGTATTAGTGTCTGCTCTGTCACTCTGTAATCCATGTACAGATCCAGCCTCTCTTAAGCTGGCAGAACATTTCAGCCTCTTCCAGTTCTCTGGTCTCCCCATGTCCCCCACCCCCACCACTAGGAGCTTCACACATTTTAATTTCTTCCCCAGGCCCACCGGCTCTTTCTCAGCTCTGTCGCCTGTGTGTCCGGAAGTGCTTGGGTCGAGCATGTCATCAAACCATCCGTGAACTCCATCTGCCAGAGCTGCTGGAAAGATTCCTGCTCTACCAGTAGTCCCAGCTGGCTGGGGGAAGATACCTGGAAATAAGCAGGTTGTTGCCTGCTGTATCCAGGGTACCTAGAGTAGATGCCCAACCACTAGACTCTGACTATCTTCGGATGAGCTAAGTCAGTTAGTGTAGGTCCCTGATAGACCGGAACCCTTGAGGAGTGGAAACTCCCCATTAACCAAGGGGCAACCAACACAGAGCCTTTTTGTTTTTAGCCCTTGTTGTTAAGAAACTTTAAAAATCTGTGAAGGAAAGTGAAAAATAATCTATGTTTGAAGATTCATGATCTTTAATTATCTAAGGGTCAATATTCTGAACATCATACAGACACATGTAAATCTGGGCGAATAAGATTGTGATGAGTGTAAGTATTTTAAGATGTGCTCCTGATTTATTTCCTCCCTCTTTCCCCTTTCTTTCTTTGCTTCTGTGAATAAACCTCTGCTATAATTTTGATTTCCTTGCTATTTATACACACACACACACACACACACACACACACACACATGCTGAATACATTAAAAACATCACAGTTAATGGAGACTTCCAGTTACTGAGGTCCTGGTTGATAAGGGAGATGTTGGAAGAGATTAGCTCACCCAGAAGTTGGGGTCTATTGCTCATCACTTTTGATTTTAAATGCTGTTCTTTGAAGGAAACAGTTATAAAGATTTTGTTTGTTTGTTTGTTTGTTTGACAGCAAGAGAGAGAACACAAGCAGGGGGAGTGGGAGAAGGAGAAGCAGGACTCCTACAGAGCAGGGAGCCTGATGTGGACTCGATCCCAGGACCCTGGGACCACAACCTGAGCCAAAGGCAGATGCTTAACAACTGAGCCACCCAAGCACCCAGGAAACAGTTGTAGGCTCAAGCAACACCGGGGGCTCCCAACTAGCTGAGCCCCCAGGCCCTGTTTGATGCCTGTTGCAGCCCAAGCATCCATCAGCTTATTTTCAAAGTCAAGAGCCTCAAGGTTTTTCTCTGACATGTTAATGACTGTCACTAAGATGGGCTCAATGCTGGGTCAATATTATTTCTGTGAGTCTGGGCCCCAAATAAGCATGACGGTTATAATAGAATACACAGCCTTCCCCTCCCCCTCTCTTTTTCTTTTTTTTTCCACTCCTTCCCCTTCTGCTTTTCCCACTGCTAGCCTTTCTTTATCTCCTCCTCCTTTTTGTGAATTTGGAACTTGGAACCTGGATAGACTTTCAATTGTTGTAAGTACTTCTGTCATGGTTCAGTGAGTATAGTTAATATTAGCTTCTAAGAAGAAAATTTTTTTTTCTCAAATGTTCCTAAGGTTTGTTCCAAACATGTATTTTCTCCCCAGTATTTCTAGCCCTTTGATTCTCAACTGGGGACAATTTTGTCCTTCCTTCTACCCCCGCCTCCCCCCAACCCCCCGGGGACATTTGGCAAAGTTTAGACATTTTTTAGTTGCCACAACTGAGGGAGGGGTGCTACTGACATCTAGTGGCTGGGGGTCAGAGAGGCAGCTAATCATCCTACTGTGCACAGGGCAGCCACGCAGCAAAGAATTATCAGTCCAAAATGTCAGGGTGGTGAGACTGAGAAACATTGCTATAATCTTGGGCTATTCGGTACAGAATCCACAAGCCACATGATGCTTTTGAGCAGTTGAAATGTGGCTAGGCTGTATTGAGACGGGCTGTAGTATAAAAAAGCATACCGTGTTTTATTATTTTTTTATTTTTTTAAAGATTTTATTTATTTATTTGACAGACAGAGATCACAAGTAGGCAGTGAGACAGGCAGAGAGAGAGAGGGAAGCAGGCTCCCCACCAAGCAAAGAGCCCAATGTGGGGCTTGATCCCAGAACCCTGGGATCATGACCCGGGCCGAAGGCAGAGGCTTTAACCCACTGAGCCACCCAGGTGCCCCAAGCATACCGTGTTTTAAAGATTCAGTACAAAACATGTAAAATAGTAATAATTTTGATGTTGATTGCACATTGAAATGATAATATTTTGAACATGTTAGGTTAAATAAAATTCATCATGAAAATTAATTCCACTTCTTTTTACTTTTTCAATGTGATTCCTATACAATTTTAAATTATAGGTATGGCTAGCATATTTCTGTTAGTACTGTTCAAGACCTTTTTTTCAATTTTCACAACTTTGGAATATCAAGTAAGTTAATTAGTTAACTACCTAGGGAAAAAAGATTAAATTATTTTAAATTCCTATTTAACATCACATTCCAAAATCAAATCTTGGTTTTTTGGAAAATGTGAGAAAATTTCAAATACTCTCAAATATTAGAAGAAAATGTACACGGAAGGGAAGGTCTTTTCTAAGCCCAATATCAAAGGCAGAAACTTTAAAAGAAAATACTGTTAAATTAAAATACATATCATATATATTCAGTAATTAAAATATGTATCATAGAACATTCAGGAATTGGAGGCTTTCTATCTTTAAAGTGTTCTCCTGAGTACATTTTTTTTTATCAACTTGCATCTTGTTCAATGTCTGAGCTCTGTGTTAAGCCCCAGGATGTCCTAGGATATTCCTTCTGTCTGTGGCTCCAAGGAATTGAGGATCCTGCTCTTCCATCCACTTTCTGAAACTGCAGACCATGAATTTCACCAATCACTTGTATGGACCTCCCAGCTCTGGTAAGTGTGGTTTTGCGTGTGTGTGGAGGGGCCGGGGGCACTTTAATTCCAAACTGAGCCCCAAGAGACCACTTACCAGAACTATCCTTCTGATTCCAGAAGGATGTGGATGCAGAACAGGTTCAGATCCCTGTATCTTGGGGCTGCTGCCATGTTTTATGATTTACAAATACAGAGATTGGACATGAGGTGATCGATCTATTTTCTAATTCTAGACCATCAGATGGAATCTTCAGGTTTATACACTATAATATTGCTTGCTTTTGGGGGTTCTTAACATACACCCATATGTATCATCCTGTCAGAAAAGTGATAAGAAAAATAAAGCATATTGGGGTAAAGAGTGATGATGACAGCTATTGTTTCAGGTAAGGTGATTAGGCAAGGTCCCTGGCAGGGTGACTGAATTGTGAAAGAACTCCTTGGGCAGGTGTCTAAAATTTATTAGTTTATTTTTACCGTGAAATTTTAGTGACTTTTTTCAGAATATCATGTTTTTTGTTTTGTTTTGCTTTCTTTGCTTGGTTTAACGTCATGATCCTGTCGTGAAAGTATTTTTGATTCTTGCCTTACCCCCACACCATACTGTAATGATTTTCTCAGTTTCAAACCCTTGACTCTATCCTCTTAAGTGGTTGCCTTCTATCTCTTAGCTACTTCTATATTGTTGGAATACTTAGATTACTTCTAATTTCTTACTGTTGCAAATACTGCTAATGTACTTCAATTTTTAATAAATCTTTTTAAATGTTTGAAGTATTTCTTAGATGTTCAAAAGAGTTATCTACTGATTAAAAAAACTATTTAAAGTAATAGTTAAAAATAATTGAAATATTACACAATAAATCACTTTCAGGGAAAAGTATTTTTGTAACCACACGAACATGCAGTATTACCTATCCAGGTACCACATGTCTCTCTACAGAGACACCTAATACATCAGTCTCTGTACCCTGCGTCTGTCTCTTCTCTTTCTGTCCATCCATCATTTATCTGACTATATCCCTCATCTACCTTGAGCCATTATTTTAAAAAAGGAAACTTGCCTGTTTTATTTGAAGACTTACACCTCAACTCTTTTGACATCCCTTAAAGTATTTAAAAGTTTAGGTATATCATTCAACATCTGTTTTTTCTGTGTCCTTTATTAAGGAACGGTTTCTCCCAAAGTGATTCTCTTCCCTGCTATTTCTAATATCGCCTTGTCAAAGAAACCTGAGGTTTACAGATGATATCTTTCTCAGTAACAGTGCTCACAGTGGAGACGATTTGATGTGCCTGGAGCTGGCATGGGGAGGGAGGAATGATGGACAAACAGCTTGCTAGGGATTTTAATTTTTACGTAGTATGTTTCCCCCTGCCGCTGTCGTTTGGAAACTTTCCCACCTTACAGAAAAATGACAAGAATAATACCATGAACATTCAGATACCCATCAGCTCAGTTCACCCATTTTTAGCATTTTGCCACATTTGCTTATCTGTGTGCATGCACTCATGCATCTATATGTACGCATGTATGCATGTGTGTGCACATGCCTGTAGAACACATGTGTACATAAGCCATGTATAATGAATACATATACCAATAATTTTTTTTAAAGATTGATTTGTTTTTGAGAGAAGGAATCTCAAGCAGACCCCACTGGGCACAGAGCCCAATATAGGCTTGATCCCATGAGATCATGACCCTGAGATTACGACCCCGAAATCACAACCCGAGCCTCAATCTAGAGCCAGACGCTTAACCTACTGAGCCACCCAGGCACCCCTATACAAATCAATTTAAACGAGCCATTTGTGAATAAACTGTGGAGGTCATGATTCTTCCCCAAGACCAGCGTTAGCTGAGGCGAGTGTTGCAGAAAATGTAAGGGGCCACCCAGAAACTCTATGGTCAAAGTAAATATTTTGGTGCAATATTTTTAAAAAATTCAATGTTATGGAAAAAAGCCCCTGATGACCAAAAATATCAAAAAGATGTTAATAAAAACGGGCTGTTGTTTATCTTATGGGCTTATGTAATTGCACAAGGAGCGAAGTGTTTCTAGTCAGTTGGAGGTGCTGGGACGTGTGGCTGTTGGGTTTTTGAGGATTGGCAGTGGCCTGTGAACAGATTGAGCAATGTGGGCTTTACATATACTTGTGTGTTTTGACTGTGGAGCTTGCGTTAGCTTTTTGTCTTCAGTGCACAGTGTGTCCACAGGGGCAGGCATTCCTCCCTGTGCAAGCTGCATGTGGTTCTGTCCTGAGCACTGCAGCAAGCAACTCCTGGAGTCCAGAGATTCTTTCGTATCCCCTTGGTGCAGTAATCACATGCAGGAAGCTTGACGGTGATGTTCTTGTGACATGATTTTAGTCCATATATAAATTTTTGCAATCGTGGCATTGATGTCTTTTAGGTCTTGTTCCCCCTCTCCCCAACAACACATCCCAGTGAGGATCTGATCAAGGATCACGGGCTTTTTTCTCCTTGGAGCTAGAAAGCCGCCCCACCCGCACTTTTGTCTTCCGTGCCCTTGGCAGTTCTCAAGACTCCAGCCCCATTGTGATGCAAACCATCTCCTTCAATTTTGATTTGCCAGATTGTTTTTCTCAAGAATACTGCATTATGCGGGACTTTAAAGAACACATCCTTGTTGGAATCTTATTGTACTGCTAGATGGAGCCGGAATGAGTGAGTGTGGTCCCAAGTACCCCTAAGCCAGAACAAAGGAAACAGCGAGGCTTTTTGCGGGAAGCGCAGAGGATTCCAAATTATCAGAGAAGATGCGTAGCTTTGGGGTTTTAAAGGTTTTGTGCTAGAAAAATTGCTGGCTGGAATGACAAGAGGTTTCTGTGCTTGGGCCAACTCTGACTGATTGGAGGTGATTTTCAAAGGTCCCCAAGGCCTGGGGTGGGGCGAAAGAGGCCATGAGTGATGTCAGCCGTGGACATCTAGGTGGGGGGCGCGCAGAGGCACTGCTAGTGTTAAGACTGCACTTGATAAAGAATGACTGTGGCCTTTACTGCTGCTGCAGGCCACAACTCTTTTTTCTTACCTAACCTGGGCTAAGTGTCTTGAGCACGCGTGCGCGCGCACACACTAGGACTGACTGGAAATGTGTCAGTTGTCCTTCTCGGGTTGTCAGCCCACCTGTTCGTCTGTAGTCACAGCTCATACACATGTAAATCAGCTTCGCCCTCACACAGACCCTTCAAAATGCATGACTTCTCTTGTAATGCTGTTTGAATTCCTGACTGGAGGTATGGTTGAGCAGTTAAAAAAAAATCAGTTCCCGTCCTCTCCTATTCACAAGAGGTGACCAACATTATAAATGTAGGGACAAGGTTAAAAGCTAAGTAATTCCTTCCCAGGTACTAAGGCAACAACCTGGAAATACTCTTTATTGCCCTTTTGGACAATAAGCTGAAATCTGGATATGGAAAAGGGCTCTCTTCTTGGAGTTTAATTAAAAGTAAATAAAGAAGCTGTACCATGAAGATTTTACTCAAAGAACGAGGATCATATCACATATTAACTCCGTGTCCTCCAGTCTACGATGGGAATACATTTCTCAGTCTCTGCCAAATGCAAGTTTTGCAGTTCTTGGAATCTGTCCTGATGTTGTAGCGAACAATGCCTATGCCGCCGGCCTGTTCGGTAAATTCTGCGAAGAACCAGAGGGCAGCTTGGCAGAGTCTCTCTCCATCTTGAAGGAACAATCTTGAAGTTTCTCTCAATCCTTCTCCAAAATGAAATGAGTATTGAGATAATTGAGCCTGTGTGTGCAGCTGTAAGCAGGAATACAGAGAGGTCTCCCACGCCTTTGCCTACTTTGCTGCAACGACGGCTTTCTGGAAACCTCCAGTACCGTGGAGCTCAACCGTGCCTCAAGCCCCCGACCTCACTCAGAATTCCCGTTTGGCTTGTAGTCACTTCTGCGTGTGTCTTTAGTTCTGGACATTGTGGGAACACACCTCCGACTCGGCCTTTTCCCCTCTTAGGAATCTCTCCTCCAGAAACATTTGCAGCTGTGCACAGAGCCACTGACACCGAAACATGAACTGCGCTATTTCTGTGGTCCTCACGGAGACGGTAACGGTCTGCCTCCATCATCGGGGAAGAGGGAGATGCTTGGGGCCCGACGTGGAACGCTACACAGTAATGAAGTAATGAAGAAAGGAAGGGACAACCACAGACCCACGTGGGGAGAGCTCCAAGATGAAACGAGCGCGAGAGGCATGGAACAAGATGGTAATACAATTACATTTCTGTGAAAAATGGAAAGGGATGAATGTGTGTCCATATGTCTGCCCAGAAATGCATTTTAAAATGTGAAGGCCGTTCCTCGCATCATTGCCAAGTGTTTCCCTTCAGGACTCCCTAAGTCTGAAACTGTGTGGCTACCTTTAGGGCATTAAAACGAAACAAAACAAATGAACAAAACCCCCAAATCCTCTGCAGCCATTTCAGAGACAGACTGTGCCTGAGACTAACTCAGGTCCTTCCCTCCCTGGGAAGAAAGGCGCCCTGGGGCCGGCCGTCAGCCCGAAGCAGCACCCAGGGGTGCGGGGGAACCCGGGTCCACCTGAGGAGACCCACATACCCACTGTTTTCCTAAAGGCGAGCAGGCGAGACCTTCCCAGAGGAAAACTTTTTATAATTAACAAAGTAATGGGTGTGTCTCCGGCACCCCAGGGCCAGGCAGCAACCCATTTTCCAGTAGCAACCATTAATTATTTATTTAGAAGTTAAAATATAGTTTGGGGGGGAAGGGAGAAGCAGGACACAGAGGGAAATCCTAGCAGTCAGAGGGAAGAAAACAGAAGTTCCGTCCAAAGGGGCATTTTTGTAATATATAGGCACATTTTCCCATAAGAAACTCCCAGAAAAATTGAAACCACATGTGCAGATGGCCAGGGTGTGCTGTGCATGTTGCTGGGCAAGCAGTTCAGGCGCGCTGCAGCGAAACCCGCTCTCTCAGCTCTCGGGTTCTGGGGCTTTCTCCGCAATGAGAAGCCCCTAGAGAACCAGCCGACCTCAGCTGAGTGCAGGGAGTGGCTTCCTTCACCCCCCCCCCCACCCTGCTTGTTCCCTTTGCTCTCCAAAAAGTTACAAACTGGCTTTCCTTCCTGATAAACCAAGGCTTCCTCACTGATTGGTCTCAGTTTAGGAAAGGACGTGACATCAGCAGCTTTGCAGACTGGGGCTGGGGGGCCCGCTGTGAGCTTTGGCCAACCTCCAGGCAGCTAGGTGGAGCATGTGTGTGTGTGTGTGCGCGCGCGTGTGTTTGTGTGTCTGGGCGCAAAGCGCGTCTGTCTGACCACAGGTAGTGCTCAGATTACCGTGCCTGCTCTGTTCTCTGCTGTTCTCTACCATCTGCCCAGGACGGTGTGGTTCAGCCAGTCCCAGTGCTGGAATTCCCAGGAGCAGGGGAAGCATGCAATTTGGACTCAACTGAGCGACCAAAGTGGAGAGTGGAGCTTGCCCGGCCAGGAGAGCACCATGGACGGCGAACCACGGGGCAGGAGCAGCAAGTCCCTAAGGCCAGGGGACCTTCCTGACACCCGGCTCCTTTCGAACTCGTGGATGGGGGGTGAGTCGCCAGCAGTGGCATCAGGGTGCTGGGGAGGCTGCATACGGTGCGTGGGGGAGGAGAGGGTGGGGTGAAGTCAGGGGCTCTGTCTGAGGTATGTCCACAGCTTGGAAGGTCTGTATCCTTCACATGGTTGTTCAAAAAGCTGTACACCTCTATCTGCAGAGTCCCAGAGACCGTACAAAGTTGATTGTCACAGTTCATTCACCAGTAGAAACTTCAGCTCCAAAGAATGGAGGTATAAAGCTTACTTATAAATAGGATACTTTTACTGCCAAGTCGTTTATTAAAAGGTCTTAGGTATTTGGCATGTAGGTGGGGCTGGCCTTTAAATGACGTCCAAACACTGAGTACTGATTGATTCACTTTAAAAGGAGACTTTTTTCTTTTTAACCTTTGGAGAAGCTTCTTTTAGGGATGCTTGTCACCTGTCACGTGGTATCTTTGCTAACTGTAGAATCTCGTGCCTCTGGGCAACTGTCATTTTTTGGTGAGCGTTCAGCAGGTGCCTGATGACCGAAAAGATTCTGAGAAATGGGTCTAAGCATCAGAGGAACGATAATGACATTGAGACTCATGTTATTAGCAAGGCTGCCCACAACAGTTGTCCATCACAGGGTCAATTTGCAGGGACCCAGCAGTCAGGGAGGATTTATTACTTTCCTCTGCTACAGCTGCTGAAAGGTGCGGGGTGGGGGGGGAACCCCCAGAAGAAATAAAATAACAAAATGCCTTCCCTCCCACTAACCCAGCCGATATGCATGTATCCAATTTTGCTCGGAAAAGGAGCAGAGCAGTAAGCAGGATTCGGGTTTGCAAAGGCAGAACTGGACTCGTCAAATTTTTGGAGCACAGACTTGGAGCAATAGAAAGCAGAGTGGCACCAAAAATGGCTTTTAAAAAAGGAATTAGATACATATGTTTTTTTTAAAGATTTTATTTATTTGACAGAGATCACAAGTAGGCAGAGAGGCAGGCAGAGAGAGAGGGGAAGCAGCCTCCCCGCTGAACAGAGAGCCCGATGCAGGGCTTGATCCCAGGACCCTGAGATTATGATCTGAGCCGAAGGCAGAGGCTTAACCCACTGAGCCACCCAGGCACCCCAATAAATATGTTTTGAAAGCAGCAAATTGTATTTCCAAATTCATATGGGAAAGTCTCAGTAATCTGGGTGATTTCCACATGGTTATTTTACACCTAGGTATGATGTTTATTTTTATTTCCACTCCAAAGTGGGGTGGCAGCCTCTTTTCACTGATTAGGGTCCTAATCTAACTCCTATTTGGGGCAGGATCCTTTGCTGGGTGGAGGTGAGCAGCTGCCCATATCCTCAAAGGTCTGGTGCTTAGAAAGTGAACACTCTGTAAGTAAAGAGTAAGGGGGTGGAGGGGCTTAGGGAGTCGACTGAGGACAAGTCTGGAGAGCTGGAGCTCGGTCATGGAGCTGCAAAAGGCTTGGTGGCATTAAGCCTCCATGAGGCAGGGAGTTGAGAGCCATTGATGGTTCTGGAGTGGAGACTGGGCATTAAGGAAGACTGTAAGCAGATGAATCTGGTCGCCGCAGTCAGGATGGAGGATGGGATCCCTGTCTCGTGCAGGGAGGGTTTGGGCACATGCAGATGGCTGTCCCCCCCCCCCCGACCCCGTGCTTCTGATACCCCGATAGGCCTGGGTGAAGCCTGGGAGACGGCATTCCTAATAATAAGCTCCCAGGTGAGGCTGATGGTGCTTGGAGAACCGTGCACTCACCGTCTCAGCATGGAGCTTACATTTGGATCGAACTCGGGGAATGACATAGAAAGGGGACATGGGTGACAATTTCAAAGGAGAGCGCAGTCAGTCTATGTTCCTTGACTAAGTATTGGGACTAAAAGAGGCAAGGCAGCCGAAACTGTAAAGTTGTGAAGTCTAAATTAATGTCAGCCAAGGGGGCTAGGTAAGAGAGAAGCTGGGGATGGGAGCTGGCTTGGGAGCCACGTGAGGAAGGGAGGACAGGGCTTCTGTTTTGAACACCAAAGTTTCAATGCCCGTGCCCAATGCACAGCGTGCCCATGTGGCCCAGACTGGGAGAGCAACAGGTCAGGAAGCTGAGACCTCAGAGTCTTCTGCCGGGGCTGCGCTGAAATCCTGGGAAAGGAGAGCTAGTCTGATGGCCCAGAGCTGAGAGCCAGGCATGGAGCCCGGGGCCAGGCCTGCAGGTGAGCACGTAGGCCCAGTGAGTTAGAGAAGCAGAAAGAGATTTGGATGTTGTCATTCCCCAGGAACTAAAAGAAGAGAAGTTTCCAAAGAAGCAGAAGTCACAAGGGCAGAAGACAGGACGCCTCTGCTCCCCTCCTTCCTTGTCCCCCACCTCTGGCTGGCCAGGTCCCCCTCATCTTCCACGTCCAGCCTGGCCGCTGCCACCATGAAGCCCTCCCAGGCTCTCCAATGCGCCTTTTCCTGAGCCGAGCCCGGCTCCCCCTGCTTTGTGCAGCTCTGCCCCTTGGGCACAACCGAATTGCCCTTGTTTATGCTTCTGAATGCCTGACCTTGGTGAGGTGTGGAAGGCGAAGTACTCCGCATGCTGTTTCCCAACAGCCCCGCCGAGAAACTCAGCTCAGGTGAAGCGTGTCCGGGGCACTGGACCAGGGCAGGGGTTAACAAGGGCCCGGGTGCCGCTCCTCTGGGGGAACTCAGCTGTTCCCTTTCTCGCCTGCAGGCCTCTCTCCGCCTCCTCCTCTGAAGGAAGGGAGCAAAGGTTATGCAGATGGCAACCAGCTCTTCGGAGAGATGGGCTTAATGCTTCAGTCCTCTGCCAGCAGCAAAAAAAAAAAAAAAAAAAAAAAAGCATCTTTTTTTTTTCTTCCTGAAAACACCTTGTTATGGGGTGAATTGAGTCTCCCCGCAGGATAGGTTGGAGCCCCAACCCCCAATACCTCAGAATGCGACCTTACTTGGAAATGGGGTCTTTGTAGATGTAATTAGTTAAGATGAGGCCCTACTGGAGTAGGGTGGGCCCTCATTCGATGACCGGTGTCCTCATAAGAAGAAGAGGGGAGAAAAGGGGGAGGCCTATGACAGCAGAAGCAGAGACGGGGGTAACACATCTAACAAGCCAGAAACCCCAGCAAAGATGGACGGCGGCCACCTGAAACTAGAAGGGGCGGAGAAGGAAGGATTCTTGCTTAGAGCCTCCGGGGGAGAGCGTGGTCCTGACAGTACCTTCCTGTGGGACTTCGAGCCTTCAGAACTAGGGGACAATGGATTCCTGTCATTTTAAGCCAACTTTGCTATGGCGGTTCTAGGAAACCAACGCATACCTCCCCATGGCAACTCAGGAGAACGCGCTGAAGGAGAAACTAAACACCACCCAGCCCTGCAGGTTTGTGTAGGGAAATTTCTTTCCTCACAAAATCGAGCCCACCCGGTAGAGAGTGGGCTCACATTTAAAGAGGAGACAGGCACGAACAGGCCCGGAAAGGAAGCAAGCCTGTGCGTTCATGGTGGCTTTTGAGACATCGGGGTGCCTTGGCAGGGGCAGGTTTTCCGGGGAAACCTGCCTGACCAGACAGAATGGGTGCTGCTGTGAGGTCCCTGTGGAGAGAGACAGACAGAGACCGAGGAAGAAGAGGCTGGAGAAAGAATTACAGGGGCCAGGTCGGACTTGCCCAAGAGCTGCCTCAGTGGGCCTTTTCTGTTTCCTGTTTCTGACCACGAGGCTCTGTGTCTCTTCCTCCTCTTTTCATTTGTCCCAGGATCCAACCAGGGTCCATCGTAACTGTGACCCCAGCCCCCAGATCATCTGTTGTGTCGGTGAACACCCCTGGGCCTCCCCTTTCCACGTCCCGTAGGCCGAAGGCAGACGCTCCTGCCCCCCCGCGGCCACCCAACCTCCCCTTCTTCCCCTTGACCTCGCACAGTGTTTCCAGGATGGAGAGAGACTTATGCCACTGCCTCAGAGCTCTGTTAGCAGCTCTCCTCAGAATCTATCAATTAATGCCTTTAAAAATATCTTCTGAAATAATGGAAATTTAAAAAAAAATCATTCCAGAATGGCAAGAAAAATGAAACGGTGACCTTCCTAATGCATTGCAGGGTTTGCCGGAGACTCGATTTAAGAGAAAGGTAAGTTTAATGGCAGTCATCGGAGGACTGGCAAAGTGGGTTTGGGAGAAGGGCTGCCTGCCGCATTTCCACCTTGAGCCCCGCTGCTGTGTCTGAGGCCTTGCCAGTGACCCCATTTGGCATAAATTTCCTGGCAGGAAAACCAGTAGACCCCGGCTGAGTGAGTGTTGGGGAAGAATCCCTGATGTATACTCAGGGCTTGGCCGGTGCACTGTGTACAGGCAAAGGCCCTTGAGTTGCAAAGGCGGTGGTGGGGTCAGTGGAAGACGGGATATGGTGACCTTGAGTCCCGTCTTCATCCAGTCTCCTACTGGGAGCATTTCCATGTTCTGGAGGCAACAGGTCCCCTTTCCTGCCCTGTCTGCTCTCTCTGGTGCTTAGCAGGAAGGCAGGCAAAGCTTCCCCCTGGGGGGAATTGCACATGCTGTCAGTAGCTCATTGCCTGCTTGGGTGTGGTCTCTGGAAAACCCTGGAGAGCCCCCTCCCTGATCCTCCCAGGCAGGATCCACACAAGATGTATGTCTCAGCCGTCTCTTCAGTGTTTTCAAGAGCTAAAGAGTGTGTGGGGACTAGTCCCTGTTGCACATTATGGTGTTTACAACCATGTGTGTATGTATGTGCGAAGATACCTATCTCCATGCTCCTGATGCTAGAAAAATGTCACCCTACCCACGGTCACGATTCTAAGTCTTTACATAATCACTCAGTTGTTCAGAGACCTGCTGAGGCTGACATCCTCGTGGAAATTTGTCATGAATTTTGGCTTTGTCGGGACCCAAGTTTTTCTCCTGGGCGGGAGTGATAGACACATTATGATAGGCTTACCGAACCCTAGTCTAAAATGACTTTATTTTTTTAAGGTTTTATTTATTTATTTGACAGAGAGAGACACAGCGAGAGAGGGAAAACAAGCAGGGGCAGAGGGAGAGGGAGAAGCAAACTCCCCGCTGAGCAGAGAGCCCGAGGCGGGCCTCAATCCCAGGACCTCAGGACCATGACCTGAACCGAAGTCAGACACTTAACAACTGCACCTCCCAGGTGCCCCCCCCCAATGACTTTAAATTAGAAAGCAAAGTTTCATACACCGCTGATGGGAATATGAAGTGGTATGACCCTTTTGGAAGAGAGTTTGGAAGTTCCACAAAAGTCTAAACATGGGGTGACCTTGTCCTAGAGCATTTCCACTCCTACGTATGAAGCCAGGAGAACTGAAAACAGCCACCCACAGACTTGCTCATGAACATTCATAGCGGCGTCATTAATAACAGCCAAGAAGCAAAAACAAGCCAGGTGTCCATCAGCTGACGAATGAATAAATAAAATGCGGTCTGTCTCTACAGTGGGTATTATTTGGCCGTGGAAAGGGATGAAGTGTTATTCCCTACCATAACGTGGATGAACCCTGAGACGTGATGCTAGGTCGAAGAAGCCAGTGGCAAAGGACCATGTTCCATACGATTCCACTTACATGAACTGTACGCATAGACAGATGTGGCTGCTCAGCCCCCCACCACGTGCACCTGGACAGTTCCCTGTGCTTCTCAGTGACACAGACTGTGTCTGCTTTGTAAATGCCGCATTCTCAAGCATGGGGACCCCGCTACAGGTAGCCTTTTTTATTCCTCTTAGGGGAGTACACGATTCTTGATTTACCGTAAGCGGAAGGAGGAATGGTTTCAAGACGAATGAATAGAAAGTGAAGCCTGTTTTTGTCTGTAGTTGATAGTATAATTGCATCCTTTTTTATGAAACCTGAGCAGAGTTACAATTTAGAACCCAGATTACCTGCCCGGACTCTTTAGGCTGTCAGCTCTGATTATCCGATCTCGCTTTAAGAAAGGGGAATGTGCCAGCTATGTTTCTTAGCCCCTGAACACTCGGAGGGAAAAAAAAATGGATTAATCATCACACACATGGTGATCCATTAGGATACACTTGCAAATTTCTTTTAAAATGGATTTTCAAACCTTAATTTTTGGCTCTTCCTTTGCACCCAAGATTTTGTGCAGATTGCGTTTTGTGTTTGCTCCGACGGTATAGACATAGTTGTCCTTTTAATTCTAATTTGGAGAGAAATCTTTCCGTAGCTACCATCTGGAGGGTAGGCTCTAAGCACTAGAAACAGCAATTTTTTCCTGAGAGAATCAGGAACCTCAGAGAATTCTGTGAGGCCATGAAGTTTCTATTGATTGAACATAAGGTTTGGGAGGTAAGAAAAGCTATTTCACGTAAGGTACTCGTAGTGACCCCAGGAGGAGAGTATTGGATGGACTGCGTGTCGATAGGCTCATTCGGCTACCTCTTCCCTATAAATGCTTTATGCATTCATCTGGAATGATAGTAATCTGCTCCATGGGACACACTTTCCTGGGTCTTGATAACTCCCAGATAGCAAGGCAGACCTCAGCTACTGTGTTAAGGACAAAGTATTCTAGCCTCCTCCTTTCTGGCTTTTTGGTTGATAAGGTACTAGTAAATTCCCTGGTTCCCCAGGTCTCCCTAGCTTTTAGGAGACACCGGTTCCTTATGAGGCATGCCTGCCATCAGACCGTTTTGCCTTGTCACATTCTGACTTCCTGTGCTTGTTCTGGAAATCAGTCACAGCTTGAGATGAGGAAAATGCAGGTCTCTGCCTCATTCACATTACCTCCACATTCAATTAGAGAGAGGAAAACATTTAATGTGTTGGGATAGGGTTTATAGGGTTTCTTCCGAAGAACGTGTGTTCTTCCTGCGTGGCCGTGGAACACATTTGCTATTTGCAACAGCAGCGGTGATGGGGTGTAATTAAGACTCTGCTTAAGGGGAGGGCAGGATAATGATAGTAGCTAATAGCTATTGACCTGTGCGTAAGTTCATTGCTGTCCTAATATGACAGGGAAGGAAACTGAGGCTCAGAGCCTGCCTGGGGACCCACAGCTCCGAAGCACCCAAGGGGGTCTGAATTCAGAGCTCTCTTAACCACACTGCCATGCTGCCTTTTGGGGTAAATAATGTCCCTGTTACAAGGTCAGACTGAACTCTGCTTTGTGCTTGATACTGGGACGGGCGGTAGTCCAGAAATAGATACCGTTCTGTTTAGCTCCGATTTTAAACCTAATGGCGTACGTAATGATGTGATCACCGCTATTAGTACACGGCACTGTTTGCTGAGATACCGAAGTTCGAGTTCATGCAGGAAGCTAGACTGGCAACCGCAGCTTAACACACGAATGCTGGTGATTAGTGAAGCTCTCACTGAACTAAATGGACCATTTGCCTTTGAAACCCACGCAGTCCATCACCCCAGTCTACCTCTTTTGTCCTCAGGTTGGAGACTGGCTGTAGTTCTTTCTTTAGCTACCTTGACATTTCAAATAAAATGTGTACTGGGAGCATTGATGGAGGGAAGAGATGCTGAAGGGCTCGTGGGTGTCTTGACTGATGGACTCCTATGTCTCCATCCAGGAAGACCCCTCAGGCTCTTATGGACGGTGGGGCTGCATCTTGGGTCTATAGCACAGTGACAGGATGTAACCCAGTCCTCCCTTCCCATGCAGATATTGTGTCTGATTGGTCTCCTGTGCATGAAGCGGCCATCCACGGACGTCTTCTCTCTCTGAGGAACCTCATCAGCCAGGTACATGGCTTTTCGGGGAAAAAAGACAAACATTAAGAATATCCTATCGCGGGACACCTGGGTGGCTAAGTGGGTTAAAGCCTCTGCCTTCGGCTCAGGTCATGATCTCAGGGTCCTGGGATCGAGCCCCGCATCGGGCTCTCTGCTCAGCAGGGAGCCTGCTTCCCCATCTCTCTCTCTGCCTGCCTCTCTGCCTACTTATGATCTCTGTCTGTCAAATAAATAAATAAAAATCTTTAAAAAATAAAAAAAATTAAAAAAAAAGAATATCCTATCGCTCACCACGCTGAGAAAAAAAAATCATAGTCTGATTTTTTTTTAAGATAGAAATTTCCTCTTTGGCAAAATGAGGTGAATCCTGTCCCCTTTAACCATTTCCTTATCTGGAGGCTGGCGTAAATACTAGAATTTAGTACAATTCTGTGCACATGATCGGTACTATTATACCTATTGGGTGAATAACAGGCAGATGAGTGTGTCCAGGTTGCCCTCGCTTTACTCGATAGATTGTATTCTTGAAAATTATCACACGAAACAGTTTTTCTCAACTGAGGCAGTTTTGCCCCTTAGGGAACATTTGACAATGTCTGGAGACATTTTTGGTTATCACAGCTGGGAGTGGGGGTAGGTAGGGGGTGCTGCTGGCGTCGAGTGGATAGAGACCAAGGACGTCACTGAACATCACACGTTGCTCAGGACAGCCCTCTACCTCAGGAAACGATTCCAGCCCCAAAGGCCAGTAGCGCTGAGGTTCAAAAGCCTGGATGTAAAATAAATGCTTGCAGATGTCTTTTTTAAATATGTCATCTTATCATTTCAAAGATCTTTTCGGTCTTATGGAACCTCTAGCTGATAGTGGCTCTGCCCAGTTTGACATCAGTTTCTCTGCTCTACAGGTGTAATTTGCAGTACACATTAATTTGAGTTTTGTTTCTTTGAAATTATTGGGAACTTAAGCTAAGATACTTGTTAAAAAAAAAAAAGCAGTTGAAATCACCATTCAAAATCCTAATAAAAGTTTTTGTTCAGAATGTTCTGTTTTCTGAAAAGACTATAGATCTTTCCAGGTGGGAGCTATTGACTCTTTTCAGACCATGGACCCTTTGGCAGTCAGGCAAAATCTATGGACCCCTTGTCGGATGAATGTTTTAAATGCATGGAACATAGTACTGAGAAGACCTATCAAATTAGTAAAAGAACAGGGGCACCTGGGTGGCTCAGTGGGTTAAGGCTTCTGCCTTCGGCTCAGGTCATGATCCCAGGGTCCTGGGATGGAGCCCCGCATCGGGCTCTCTGCTCGGCGGGGAGCCTGCTTCCTCCTCTCTCCATGTCTGCCTCTCTGCCTACTTGTGATCTGTCTGTCAAATAAATAAATAAAATCTTTTAAAAAATTAGTAAAAGGACAAATGTGACATGGTGATATAAACTGCATTAAATGAGATTTAGTGGCGATTCCATTAACTACTGTATTTTGTAAGTAGGTTGAGTGCATATTTTGAGATATTTTAGATGTCTATAACAGTTGTAATACAATAAAAGTGTCTGCGATTCCTCTCAGTGATAGTCCTATGGACTGCTATTACCACTGTGGTTTGTCGTCTGGATTCATAATGGAAAGACATCAGACATTTTAGGTGGTTGTTAGTGAAAAATAAATGTTTTAAATTTTAAAAATTTCCAATTTCATGGACCTATCTAGACTAAGAAATCCTCCTGTAAGATAACAATTTCTAAAGAAAAATTTCAGACTACCCTAAGCCACTATCTTAAGCTGTTTGTGGTAGCAGCAGCCCTATTATAAATCGAAATCTAGATAGTAACACATAACTCTAGCTAAAAGCAGTTAAGCTGCTTCTCAGATAAAATGAAACATTTACCTATTTTGATGGGAAGAAACATGATCACTGTAGCTTTTATATATCACTTATTAAATTGGACCGATATTCATTTATATTCAGTATTTATGTTTATTGCACATCAGATGGAACTATTATCTTTATCTAAGTTCTATGACATTATTTGAGCAACTTATCTTCTTGGAACCTCAGTTTCTGCCTTCATAAAATGAATTTCGTCCCCATGCCGAAAGGCTGGAGCATAGCAGGGCAAGCCCAGCCGTGCAGGAGTACTTCCGTTCTGTTCATGTAACATCTACCAACATCCTGTTGGCCAAAGCAAGTCGGAGGACCACGTCTGAAGTCAAGGATGAAGGAAGTACATTTTTTCAATTATGAGGTGATGGCAAAGGTGTGAATGTATTACACTACTATGGGAGAGTGAAGAATTAAGACCAAAAATTGTCTATTAGGTTACCTTATGCGAGTCTGCGAGGGTTAACTGAGGCGACATGTAAATTACCTACTCCAGTTACCGTCATCACTCATGGTATTTATTTTCTGATTACACTAATAACACTTTGGCTAATCAAAGAATAATGACAAACACAGTTGCTAAACCAAACCTATTTTAGGGAGGGAAGTAAGACCAACATTCAAATGTCTATAAAACAAAGAGAGAAGAGAAAAAATAAAGGAAAGAAATTTTTTTTGGCCCAAGAAGGGAGAAACTCATTCCGTAACTATTCTTCACCACAGTTCACATTAAAATATCCAGGATGTTTTTTAAAAAATAACAATGCCTGGGCTTCACGCCAGACAGTCTAATTTTAACTAGGGCAGTCTTCATGCACTGCTACTTTTTTTTTCAGATTTTATTTATTTATTAGAGACAGAGCGAATAGGGGGAGCGAGGGCAGAGGGAGAGGGAAATGGAGAGAGAATCTCAAGCAGATTCCCCAGAGAGGCCGACTCGGGGCTCGATCCCAAGACCATGAGACTATGACCTGAGCCAAAATCAAGAGCCAGATGCTTAACCGACTGAGCCACCCAGGTGCCCCCTTGCTTTGGTAGTTTTTTAAAAGCTTCTGTAGAACCACTGCATTCAAGGATTTTTTTTTTAATAAAAGAGAACATTATGATAGTGTAGGTGAGAGAGAAAGGCAAATGGACATGAAACAAATAGTAGGAAGAAAGAAACAAAAAGGCCAATAAGTTGGATTTCATTAAGATTAAAAACTTCTTCATCAAAAGGCAATATTTAAAAAGCAAGGAGGCAAGCCACAGATGAGAAAATATTTGCTATATATATATATGTACATCTGTCCATCCATCCAATGAAGGGCCCGTATTCCTTGTCTAAAATCAATACAAAAAGGATAGGTAACCCAGCAGAAAAATGGGCAAGAGACTTGGACTGGCACTTCATTAAAGGGGTTGTCCAAATGCTCAATAAAATTATCCAACTATGCTGATTAGTAATTGGGGTAATTCAGATTACGAGTAGGAGATGGTATTAGCAGCTCCTCCCAGCAGAGGGGTTAAATGTGAAAAGACAGATAGTACCAGGTTTCTTTACCTGTGTAGTGATAATATGCATGTTTTCTTTATGATAATTCACTGAGATTTACACTTAGGCTCTATGGACTTTTCTTTATTGCACTTTAATAAAACCTTATTTAAAAAGTAGTAGTGTTTGTTAGGTCAGCCGAAAGCAATCCTGATACTCCTTGACCATAGTGGGACCTTAATGTGGTGGTTCTCAATGTGGACTGCACGTTAGAATTGCCTTGAGCTGTCTGGGATAAGGTGAGGTTCTTAAAAAGCCTGATGCCTGACTTCAGCCTCCTTTGATTATATGGCAAATGCTCTGGGGTGCAGCTCCCCAGGGGATTCAAAGGCACAGCTGAGACCGAGAACCTTAGCAATAAGGTATGGCTGAAAGCAAGTGGTGAAAACCAGCTGTTCAGTTCCTTGAATAAAACTCCTTATGCAGCAGCCCCCCTCCGCAATCCTCAAAGGGCTAAGTCCCTACCAAGTGGAAATAAGGAAAGACCCCGGTGTTCTGAAACATCAGATCTTTCCGATGTGGCAGCTAATTGAAGGCAAAGTGGTAATGAATAAGAAGTCTCAGATCATGATTGCCTGCAAGTTACAGGTTGCTAAGCACGCATCGTTTCTTAGTCCTCGTAACAATCTTGTAGGGTAGGTACAACTGTCCCCATTTTACAAATGAGGAAACTGAGGCTTAGGGAGATAAGTCACTGCCTCGAGGTCACGATGCGTGTTAGGTGATGGTGCCGGCATTTGAACTTTGGAATCACTCTGCTTACCCTCCCTCTGAGGTCTCCATCCTAGGTATGAGACAAGATAGTGGGGCCATTCAGAGAAGTTGGGCCAGCGAGACAAGGAGCCCTTTTCAGGGAGAGTTTGCTTGTTGGCAGAGGCTGCGTTTATGTTGTGAGTTGGGTCTCTAGGTGGTTACATCTTAGTGGGGAATTAGAGACATGCATCAGGGGCAGAGAAAGCCAAATACAGTATGTAGAGAGTATTGAGAGAAAAATGAAAGGATCTGAGGACAAATCTTTGAAACGCCTGCACTTAGGAGCTGTGAGGAGGAAAAAGGCCAGAGTTAGTGAGAGAGACAGGAAAAGGACAGTAGGAGGTCAGAGATCTAGTTCTTTCTCAGGGAGAGCTTGGTTTGCAAAGCCAGAGGAGAGGTTTCACAAGCTTGGGATGAATACAGAGCCAATTCAGAGGTGGACGGAGACGGGAGACGGAACGATGTATATTGGATTCAATAAGGAGGAAGTCTCTGGTGATCTTTAAAAGCAGTTTCAGCAGGACTGGGTTGGTAGGTGAGAGAAGGGCGACAAGCAGAGACAATGGGGACAGACTGCTTTTGAAGAGGAAAAAAAGCAGGGGAAGCAAAGGGGAGAAGAGGATTGGATGGAAGTGTAGTGTGGTAGAGGGTTGGGAATGACGATGGAAAGACTTCAAGACACAAAAGGAAAGTGTGCCTGCAGAGGAGGGGAGAGGTGGAGAACGCATGTGAGAAGGTGGCCAAAGGCAAGTCATGACATGGTGGAGGGACAGGGTAAGGTCACGGGCTGTTGGGGCGAGCTCAAATGATTGTCTCCAAGAAAGGAGCAATGGCAGAACAGAGGACTGGCGACGTGCAGAGGGATTTTAGGGGTAGGGAGAGGGGGATGTGTGAAATACTCACATCAGGTGGCTTTGATCTCCTTGCTACAGTAGAAGGAAACGATGTGTTTGATGAACATGAAGGAGAAGGCTGCTCGTGACCTCCTTCTGCCCTGAGTGTAGAGAATGACACATCAGTTATGTGTAGGACAAAGGACAGAGCCAAACCTTATTGTAGTCTTCAGGTTGGTTCATGCGGGGATGGGCATGTGGTTTGAAGCTGGGACAGAAACCTGCCAGGTGCTGAGCGCTGTGTCACCGTGGGCGCCCTGACATCGTCCAGCCCCGAGGCCCCGTCTAAAAGAGGGTCTGAGGATGGGCCGAGATTAGGGACAATTGGTTACAGAAAGATGAAAGTGAAGCCATTGATCCATGTTTTCAAAACCTGAGAACCCACTGGGGACGGACCCTGTGTGAAGGAATGGGTTAAAAATTACCTCAAGATATTCTAGAATGTCCTAAATAATTCTGACTGACGGCCACCATTCATTTAAAGTAGTGCCGTCGCTCAATGAGGAACTGTACGCGCAGTCCTACGTTGGCAAAGTGAAACTGAAGGGAAAGGAACCTCCTAGTTATGAATTTTTTGTGTATTCTAGTAGTGTGAGGGGAAGCTATTGCACAAATATAGAGCATTGAGGGGGGCAAAGAAAGGATCTAAGAGCACATCTTTGAGGGGATGCCTCCAATTTAATAATAAAATAATAATGACAATAATAAAATAAAATAACAGACACCACACTAAAGTCCATGGGCAGAACTTGTGACGGTGTCTATGCAGTAACTCAGCTCTTCTTGAGTCGGTGGTCAGTAAGCGTTTATTGAGTGCTCTTTGGGTACAGATGGGATGCGAGGTTACAAAGGAGGGGAAGGTGTAGTCCCTTCCCTCCCTGGGAACAGCAGGGCCAGGGCCGGGGGGCAAAATACTGTAAGGGATGTCAGAACTTCTCATTTACAAGTGAGTCTCGCAGAACCCCTCCCCAGACCCACCCAAAGAAAGGCTCCAGATTCAGGACCCTGTTGACTCAGGCGTGTGTCTGGAACGATTGGACCTCTTGAAATCTATGAGGTCACACCCATCAGAGTGTAAAAGCTGATAGGATTGGATGATCAGGAGGTTGACTGACTTACGAATGTGTTAGGAATGATGATGTGGGAGGCAGTTCATTGGAATGATTTTACGCAAATTTTAACTCTTATGGGAAGAAAAGGTACGATTGTATTACCAAGTCATTAGTTAAGTTAACCGTATTCTTACCTAATGTGTCCCAAGAAAAACAACTTTTGTTGTACCCAGTTTCCTCCTGTCGAGGATAATGTATTCCATGATCAGGGCATCTGGGGGGGTCTCTCCTGGAGTTCTTTTGCTGCTTTGCGTGGATGGGGCTCATAAGCCATCTCCTGGAGAGAGCAACTTTTTTCCACAGTTTGATGAAATGCATGGCCTTCTGACAACTTCCTTGGCTCTTTGGACCTCAAGTACCTAGAGTGAGAATGTCATTCCCCTCTGTCTTAGGACTTTCTGCCTCTGTCTGTGCAAGTTCACCTCATGCTTTGGCCCTAGATTAGGCATCTCTTGCTGTGTAACCAATTACCCCCAAACTCAGAAGCTTCGTGAACAGACCTGTATTAGCTCACAGTGTCTGTGGGTCAGGAATCAAGACACAGTTCACCTGGGTCAGGGACTCCTATGAGTCTGCAGTCAAGGTGAAGGCCAGAAACAGAGACAACTTAAGGCTCGACCGGAGGTGGACCTCAGTCCTAACTCACTTCCATGGCTGTTGGCAAGGTTCGGTTCCTCCTGGTTCTTGAACTGAGGCCCTCAGCTCCTGGGTGGCTGTTGGCTGGAGACTGCTCTCTGTTCCTTGCCCTGGACCTCATCGAGACAAAAAGCGAGCAAGTGAGAGGACAGGAGAGAGTAAGAACGAGAGAAAAGTCATTCTAGAATGTGTGTCCCCAAGAGTCAAATGGCTGGGTCACGGGGATGCATCTCGTCAACTCTAGTGGAGACACTCCAGCTATTTCCCCCAGGGTCTGTGGCATATCATCCTTTCACGAGCTGCATGAAGGTTCCTTGTTTGCTTGACATCATTAGCAACACCTCAGCACGCTGGCAGAGCGGGAGCCAAGTGAACTTAAAGAGAATTGTCGTGGGGCTGCATCGGGGTTGAATCCCCACCGTATGGGGCTGTGGCTTTACATCCCTTTCTCTGCTCACTTCCTCTCCTGCAGGGCTGGCCCGTGAACCTCATCACGGCCGATCGCGTGTCCCCACTCCATGAGGCCTGTCTCGGAGGTCATCCCTCTTGTGCAAACGTTTTATTAAAGCATGGAGCTCAGGTAAGTGTGACTCAAATAATGTCTTAGGGACCATGACAAGGGCCTGTTTCCATCCCTTTTGAGTCATTTCTGGCATTTTTGACTAGTCTGATTGGAAGGTCGAAGAGGGGTGTTTTTCAAAAGCATGACATCCATCAAGCTTCTTTACCTTAGCGATAGAGGAGGAACCGAATTTTTAGCCAGGAAGGAATGGTTTGAGACTGCAGCAGTTTCTTTAGCAGTCACTCCTAATAAATACCCGGAAATAGATTTCTGCCTTCAGTCCCGTGGCTGGAAGGTAATGAAATATTACAGAAAATGTGGAACATTTGGCTCCATGAGACCTGAATAATGGTTCCAAACCATGTCTACCATTTGCTAATATTGGAAACTTGGAAAAGTTACTTGGGCTCTGAGCTTTAGAGTCCGTATCTGAGAAGAGGGGGGAAGATAACAATGAAGCTGTGTGCCCTGGAGAGAGGAAAGAGCTTTGTGGCACGCATGGAATGTCTGCCCCAGCGGGCGACGACCAAACACTGTTCCTACCCGTTATGTCTGGCCGTGTAACAAGCCACCCTAACTTAGTGACTTGAGACAAGAGCCACTTATTTCTTTATTTATTTAACATATAATGTATTATATGTTATATAATTGCACAATCTGTGAATCATCAGGCTTACACATTTCACAGCATACCCTCCCCAATGTCCATCACCCAGCCACCCTCTCCCTACCCTCCTCCCCCTAGCAACCCTGTTTGTTTCGTGAGATTTAGAGTCTCTTATGGTTTATGTCCTTCCTGATCCCATCTTGTTCCATTTCTTCCGTCCCTACCCCCCACAATCCCTGCCCGGCTTCTCAAATTCCTCCTATCAGAGAGAGCGTATGATGATTGTCTTTCTCTGATTGACTTACTTCACTCAGCATAATGCCCTCTTGTTCCATCCATGTAATTGCAAATGGCAAGATTTCATTTATTTTGACGGCTGCATAGTATTCCATTGTATATATAAACCACATCTTCTTTATCCATTCATCTGTTGACTGACATCTAGGTTCTTTCTGTAGTTTGGCTATTGTGGACATTGCTGCTGTAAACATTTGGGTGCATGTGCACCTTCGGAGCTCTCCATTTGTATCTTTAGGGTAAATACCCAGTAGTGCGATTGCTGGGTCATAGGGTAGCTCTATTTTCAACTTTTTGAGGAACCTCCATACTGTTTTCCAGAGTGGATGCACCAGCTTGCATTCCCACCAACAGTGTAGGAGGGTCCCCCTTTCTCCATATCCTCACCAGCATCTGTCATTTCCTGACTTGTTAATTTTAGCCATTCTGACTGGTGTGAGGTGGTATCTCATTGTGGTTTTTTTTTAAAGATTTTATTTATTTGATAGAGATTACAAGTAGTCAGAGAGGCAGACAGAGAGAGAGAGAGAGAGAAAGGAGGAAGCAGGCTCCTTGCTGAGCAGAGAGCCCGATGCAGGGCTCGATCCCAGGACCCTGAGATCATGGCCTGAGCTGAAGGCAGAGGCTTTAACCCACTGAGCCACCCAGGTGCCCCTCATTGTGGTTTTGATTTGTATTTCCCTGATGCCGAGTGACGTTGAGCACTTTTTCGTGTGTCTGTTGGCCATTTGGATGTCTTCTTTGCAGAAATGTCTGTTTATGTCTTCTACCCATTTCTTGATTGGATTATTTGTTCTTTGGGTGTTGAGTTTGATAAGTTCTTTATAGATTTTGGATGCTAGCCCTTTATCTGATAGAGACAAGAGCCATTTATTTATCTCACAGTTTTTCATGTTGGCCAGATAGTTCTTCAGGTCTGGCCTGGTTCTGCTGACCTTGGCTGGGCTTCCTTAGGCCTTCAAGGTTAGCTGACAAGTTCGCTGGGGCAGGCTGCTTTGTGATGACCCTGCTGGGGTGGCTGGGCAGACAGGAAATCTCTATGTGGTCTCTCATCCTTTCCCAGGCAGCCTGGCCTGGTGCCCGTGGTAGCAGGCATCCCAAGAGCATCAAACGAAGGCAAGCTCTTGGCTTGCATCCCATTTGCTCTCGTCCCATTGGGCAAAGCAAGTCCCGTAGACAAGCCCAGATTCAAGGACTGAAAAAGGAGTCTCCATGTTTGACGGCAGGAACTGCAATGCTGTGTCACGAAGGGACACTTCCTGGGAGGAGTGATGTGTAAGCTGAAATGCGAAGGACCCGTTGAAATCTGTCAGCTGAGTCGTGGGTTGGGGTGAGTTAAACAGCCTCTCTGTCCTTGCCAAGAAAAGGGCTTTGTCCTGAGAGCAGTAGTAGAGAGCTGTAGGTGAGCATGGTCATCGGGTCTATACTGGGGTTACGAAAACTTACTCCAAGTGTGGAAACAGGGCCAGGATGATGGAGAGGCTGAGAGGCACCGAGAGTACCATCTATAGCAAGAGACTCCCTCTCAGGGTTGTGGGGCACTCACGTGCCCCCGGGAGGGAGTGTCTCCTTAAACTTTGTGCCCTGGACATCTGGGCCTCACTGGTTGTCGCCTTCCTTGGAGATGGCTTGTGAGAATGACTTCATTGTCTTCATAATCTCTTTGCTTCACAGTGTAGAAAATGTGCTTTTGATTTTGCTCTTCCCTATTTGCTTATATCCCAAACACTGTGAAGTCAGATGTGAACTTGTAAGTTTCAGTCAGATTTCCAGTGTGTGAAAGACAGTGCCAAAGACTCTAGTTTTCTAGCCCTGTAGGACGTTAACCAGTCTTGTAACTGTTAGTGGCGTCATTTCAGCATTTAATTGACTGACGATATAAATTCTCCTTTGAGCTAGCCTTACCGTCTTACAGGTTCTCTCATTCATGAACGAGTTGAAGAAAATCTTTGGCACGCCTCCACCCTATATTTCTGTACAAGTCATGTTTTAAAATAAAAAAAAATAATAACACACAAACAACTCTAAACGGTTACTCTCGCTGCTGGAAAAGACTCTGGATTGGGGCGGGATGGGTCTGGAATGTAATGTTTAAAGCAGGGAGATTAGTTTGTAAGCCCTATAGGATTATCCTGACTAGTTCATATTCCTGGGGGCGTGGAAATGATAGAATATACGGTAACATTCTCGGGGCCTTATGTCATTCAGCTTTTCACAGCCTTGTGGATGTTTGGTATTTTTGTCCTCATTTTAGAGCTGTGGAATCGAAGGCTCAGAGACATTAGAAAGCAGCTCAAAGTAATGGAGTCTAGATTTGAACCCAGGACAGCCCACTGCCTACCTTTAGCCTGGGGCTTTTTTTTTCCAGGTGAATGGGGTCACTACAGACTGGCACACCCCGTTGTTTAACGCATGTGTCAGTGGCAGCCGGGACTGTGTGAGTTTGCTTCTGCAACATGGGGCCAGCCCCCATGCTGTGAGCGATCTGGCGTCCCCCATCCACGAAGCGGCTAAGAGAGGTAAATCTGCTGAGAATTTGTCGTCCACCACTCCTTCAACAGACATCTCACAGTTGTAAGAGGAGGGATAGCTTTCAGGGATCTTTCCTCGGTGTGGGGCCCTGGGACCAGAAACACGGGCCTGGCCTGGCCTGGCCGGCAATGGCAAATTCTTGGCCTCCACGCCAGGCACATTAACTCGGCAACTCTGGGGTGGGGCCGGGCCATCTGTGTTTTGTTTAGCAAGCATCCCGGTGATCCTCATGCACAAAAAGTTTGGGAACCACCCTTTCAGAGCATCTGGAATGTGGTTCACTGCTGTAGGTTCTGGAATGGGGGCTGGCCCATGGTAGACTGTCCATCAAGATCTGTGAAATACATTGTTGGATCCATGACCCCAGAAAAATCAGATTATTTTATTAATTTTTTAAAGATTTTTATTTATTTGACAGAGAGAGAGCACAAGCAGGGGGATCAGCAGGCAGAGGGAGAGGGAGAAGCCGACTCCACACTGAGCAGGGACCTCCCACATGGGACTCCATCCCAGGGCCCCAGGATCATGACCTGAGCTGAAGGCAGACGCTTAATGGACTGAGCCACCCAGGCGCCTCTCAAATTATTTTATAAAATAAATTCTATTCTTTTGTTTTAGGGCCTTAAAGAATATTGTCTCATGGCCACCTAGGTTTTCTTTTTTAAAAAATATTATATTTATTTGAGAGAGAGAGAGAGAGAGAACACAAGCAGGGGGAGACAGGCAGAGGCAGAAGGAGAAGCAGGCTCCCTGCTGAGCAGAGAGCCTGATGCAGGGCTCGATCCCAGGACCCTGGGATCATGACCTGAGCTAAAGGCAGACCCTTAACCAGCTGAGCCACCCAGGCGCCCTCCTCACCTGGGTTTTCTAAGTGAAACAAACTTTCAATTTTTATTGGAAATACAAGATGCTATATACAGCTCGGGGTAATTCTCTACCACACCTGGCTTTATTGAGATTTAACTGACAAATAAAATTGTATGTATTTAAGGTGTACTAACATGATGACTTGATAGATACCTACATTACAAAAGGGTTACCAATCAAATTAATGAACCTATCCATTGTCTCACAGTGTTACCATTTTTTGTGTGTGGGGAGAACACTTAAGGTCCACTCTCCTAGCACATTTCAAGCATATGGCGTTATTGCATACAGTTACCAATACTGTACGTTAGATCCCCAGAGCTTCTTCAGCCAGGGTAATTCTTTTCATAAAGCCACAGTTTTCCCGATATTCTTAACTCTGGTACAAAAAATACAATGGCAAGTTCTGCCTCTCCCCAGTGTCCATGACCGTCATTGTCACTATCATGAGCACACTTTGCCAGAAGAGTTTTTAGTTCCTCGGTGGCTTTCCCAGAATGGCTCCCCATGAGCACTCCCCACAGCAGCTCTGTTTGACCAAATCCATCCATATGATAAACATCTCCCAAGGCACTGACATTTCTTTGTTAAGAGACCTGTCAACTCATCATATTCCCTGGGTGCGTGGAACTCAAATGATTTTATAGAAAGAGAAACACAGGGCGCCTGGGTGGCTCAGTGGGTTAAGTGTCGGCCTTTGGCTCAGGCCATGATCCCAGGGTCCTGGGATTGAGGCCCGAGTTGGGCTCCTTACTCAGTTGGGAGCCTGCTTCTCTCTCTGCCGGCCACTCCCCCTGCTTTTGCATGCTCTCTCTCTCTCAGAAATAAATAAATAGATACAATCTTAAAAAAGAGAGAGAAAAGCAAAGAAGCAGTGTTTAAAGTATGACATGCTAGACCAAGCAAGAATGATTTGGCTTTCACCAAACCCAGTTTGCCAGACCAGGCCCCACTTGGATTGGATGGGGCAGGTGCTTCTCAGCCTCGCCTGTGTCCATGGTGGCTTCTTTCTTCCTGGGGCCAGCCCTTGGTAAGCTTCTGGGCTGCCTCCCTGGGCCCATGGCTCCTACTGTGCCTTTTCTTCTGCAGGCCTACCTGCAGTCCTTGTTCCCCCACCCCCTCCCAAGTGTCCCCTCCATTTCTGTAGTCAGTCTGGTTACAAAGCCACAGACCCTTGGAGCAGACTGCTGGTTGCTCTCCGTGGCCCACAAACCCGAGTGGGGTTCTCCCCGGAGCTGCAGAGGGATCATGCCTTACAGTCAGCGCATCAAGTGACGGCAGTGTGTAAAGTCCTTCCCTGGGCTAAGTAAATTAGCTTTTGGTCCGTGGCAAACATAAGCTTGCAGGAGAGGGGAAAGGTATTGTGTCCCTGGCTCAGAGAATGTACGCTGCAACCATGTTTCTTCTGCCCTGGGTTGCAGGCCATGCAGCGTGTGTGGAGACCCTGGCGGCCCACGGGGGCGACGTGGACCATAACATCAACCACCTGGGCACGCCGCTGTATTTGGCTTGTGAAAACCAGCAGATAGCCTGTGCCAGGAAGCTTCTGGAGTCAGGTAAAGCTAAAAGCACATGAAACAAGGAAAGAGAATGAGAAATGGAATGTCTTTTAAAAGCCATTTGTATTGTAATGGGGAAGAGTGTGGGCCGTGGAGTCGGGCAAGGTCAGGGTTCGTGGAGGCTGTGTTCTGGGGCAGGGTGGCGGGGGGGATAGATTTTACCCTGTTTGCACTTCCACTCCCGCTCTCTCGCTTGGAATGAGGGTAAGGATGGTGAGCATATCTCTTCCCAGGGTGGTCCTCAGTGATTATCTGTTCTCCTCCCTTCCCTCTCACCTCCTCTCTCCAGCCAGTCACGTTCTGAGGCCAGCAGGACTCGCACAGCTGCTGGAGCCTGGCTTGGTCTCCCCCCTGGGAACTTCTTCTCCGGTACTTGCCCTGTTTTTAGCTCATTGTTGATCTTCTGTGTTCCTCGGAAAGGCCTATGTCTCATCATTCTTTTGCACCTCCCTGGTGTTATCCAGAACCTTCTGCAACCTTGGAACACCACTTCGTCACCCCTGTAATGACCCGAGTCCTGCTTATTCTTTGAAACTCCAGCAACCCTTCCCTTCCCTTGACTGTCCTGTGCTGCTTGTTGCCTTCTGCTCATGTGACAGGCATTGTCATGAATTAGGAGAGTCATTCTCCTTCTCTTTCCCTCTCTCCCTCCCAACATCCCCTCCTCTATCCCTCACCCCACCCCTTTCCCCTAATGCTCTAGGTAGATTTTAAGTTCTAGTCAGGAAAAGGCAGGGTTTCCCATTCCTCACAAAACCAAGAAGAGTGCCGGAACAATCTAGTTACTATGTGTTGCGTGGACATAGGTTTCCATTTTCCTAGGGGAACAGCAGCTCAGGCAAAGCCACATATCCTCACCTGTCCTGGGGGGATCCAGCCCATCTGGCTAGGGTGGGCATCTGTAGAGAGCGTAGGGATGGAATTGGCTTGGGATGGCCCTAGAAGAGGAGGATTTTTCTAGAATGTAGCACACCTATGGTCAGCAGTCAAGGGCAAGGTTTTAAACCTCATATAGCTACATAGCTCGTTTTGTACCTTCAGTCACGTTGTCACATGGCACTTTCCCCATCTTAGTCGATGGAATCAAGACATCTCCCATTTTCCCAGAATTGCCAGGCCCACTGTCAAAGTGCTTTTGTTAAGGACTGTTGAGGAAGCGTGCTTCGAGAAGGGGGACACTTGGGCTCAGCTCCCTGGCTGACTCTCTCCTTCTTGTGACTTTTCAGGAGCCAGTGTGAACCAAGGCCGAGGTCTGGACTCCCCCCTCCATGCAGTGGCCAGGGTGTCCAGTGGCGAGCTGGCGCTGCTGCTCATGGACTTCGGAGCGGACACCCGGGCCAAGAACGCCGAAGGCAAACGCCCCTTGGAGTTGGTGCCCCCTGAGAGCCCTCTGACGCGGCTCTTCCTGCAGCGAGAAGGTGCTTCTCCTTTGCCCGAACCTAAGCCCTAATCCGTAGCAGCTCCTGCGGACTCTCGCGGGAGGCAGGTGCTGACCAAGCTCTGACTTGTGAGACTGTATGAGATCCTTCTCTGCCCTCGCCGCATGTGGGGAGCTGAGCTCATTGACTATTCAACAAGGTATGGTCCTGGTCACGTGGTCAGGAACCACCTGTGGTTTGCAATGTTGGAGACCGGTTGTTTTGGTTGATCTGATACTCCGTGTGAGGTAGGCCAGCTTTGAAAGAATGAACACGATCTTCAACTTTTGATATGAAAGTTTTCTAGAACATGGATTAGAACGATGCAGCAGAATTCTCTTCGGGGCTGGACAAAGCCCCCCTTGGGTGCCTTAACTGCCCTACGCATGGACCAGACTACTGGGCACTTGCTTGCTGGGGGCAAGGATGCTACTCGAGATAGTGCTAGAAAGTCTTCCTTTAATGATTGACAGCAGTCTGAGGGCATTTACTGTTGTAAGTCCATCGACACCTAAGTCTTCCACAAATAAGAGCCGACACTTCTAACCCAAACAACTAAACGTGGTCATTGAGTGCTGTGCGAGGGGGTAGGGTGTGAGGTTGGTGTGGGCTGGGGGGAGAAGCAGAGACCCCTCAGATGGCATTCGTAACTGTCCCTAGACACAGAGATCAACCAGCTCAGGACCTGCTTTCTTGCTAGAGTGTAGACTTTGTTCAGTTTTTCGAGGCGGTGGGACTTTGAAGCAGGCTTCCCTGCCTGACGGGTTCTGATGGCAGGTTACCGGGTTATACTCCACCTGCTGAGAATTAGGCCTCGCCCTGGGTAGAATTGTAAAGTGGCCGCAGAATCTTCTTCCTCCTACTCTGACTGCCCAGGGTACTTGCAGCCAAAGCCCTGCCTTTGGGGCCCGCAGGTACGGCCTGTGTGGTCCTCTCCAGGCCGCTCTTCCTGCATTGTAATGATTTGCTTTTAAAAAATTATATCTATCTATCTATTGCCTATTTCTCCAGCAGGCACAGATGGCACAATGCTTGGGGCCCATGATGTTTTTAGGGCCCACAGAAATATGTTCATCTCTTTTAAAATCCAAACGAAGAAAGGGATAAAACTCGACCTGGATTAGGTTTGCCTTTATACCGACACAGTGGCAAAATACCATTTTTTTTTAAACTGGGAAAGAGATCCACAAAAGCAAAAGTGCCTCATGGCCCTCTAAAGTTACAAAGTCATGTACACACACACGTGTGTGCATGCACGCTCGTGTGTGTATACGTGTGTATCTATCTCTACCTCTATCTATAGTCCCTCAGCCCCTGCCTCAGCAAATAATCCCACTGGATTTTCAGTTTGCCTCCCCTGACTCCTCCCTTCCACTTGATGTCCCCAGGCCATTCGTAGGCACCTACATTGCCTTTCATTCCTTTCATTCGCATTTTGGCGACAGTGGGGTCCATGATCCCACTGGCTTGTAGAATGTCATTTGCTCCTGCAGAGAATTACTGCTGCTTTTGCCCCCATGAGTCATTTTTGGGGGTTTTGGTGAGGTCACGTCTCAGTAGTCTGGAAGGCCACAGGACACGGGGCCAAGCCAAGGGCAGAGAGAGCCAGACCTGCAGTTTCAACCCAGCAAATTCTATCTCCGATCATCGCTGGAAAGGAGTTCTGGAGTATTCCTACCCCAGTAGCTTCGAAAAGCGTCTAAAGCAGTGTTTACTCATGGCTCACCATGAAAACGAAAGATGACCCCCCACCCAGCATGGCCGGAGCCACTCTCAAACTCACATTGGCTTTAAAGCATCACGAGTATTGCTGGGGGAAAAAAAAAAAAAAAGACATGGAGATGAAAGCAATAGGCCAATTCATAGATAAAGAATTGCTGCTTTTATAATGGAGTAGAGCCCACTCCTTGAACACTTGCAGGTGCCAGGAAGCGGCTGCAGAACTATAGCGGGTTTTCAGCTCTAATCCTGTGGACTTAAGGCTGTGGTTGTCGTGCGTCGCCCCACCTCGAGTAGACAGCAGGCAGCCAGCTGATAGCGGTAGTTGCACTGAGCTTGCTCGGATGTCCTGCTGTTCTGCCTCGTTGGACACTTCTCTATCCGCAGCGCCCACAGTGGTCCCCGGCCGCGTGCCTAGCGCAGAGGTTAGCCCCGTCCTTTGACCTTCCTTACTGAGAGGGACTCAAGTTCGGTTTTCCCACCGGGTACTTTTTACAGCTGATTAACATGTGCCTTGAGTCCACTGGGGAAGTTCGTTAGGAGATGCCTCAAGTCTACTAAGCAGAGTCCGGAAGGTGCCCCCGATCCCGACCCGGGGGCCTTGGGAATGTGCTCTGAGGTCCGCGCTGACAAGACTGCATTTATTTCTGTTTGGGCCACCCGTTTCACGACGTCCCTGGCCTCTACCTGCCAAATGCCAGTAGCACCTCTCCCCCAAGTGGTGACAAGCAGAAGTGTCTCTACACTTTGCCAAGTGTCCCCCCCTTTTCCCTTCCACCCGACCTCCTGCTGAGAACCACTGTCCTAAAATGTGAACTGTTGGCTGGTTCCCGGTGCGAAGTCTGTGCTGGTTTACTGTTCAGCTCTGAGTTGAAGCACTGGGCTAGCTCTGAATGCAGAATAAAAAACAACTGGGACTTAAGATAACATACCCTTGGGCTTCACTGATGGCTCATTAGATTTGAATATCTTAAAATGGCTTCATTATAAAAGTCTTTGTATCTAGACATGCCTTACTTTTTGGGAAATACCTTATTTTTAAAGGTAAAATACAAGAAAGCTGTTGAACGTGAACGTGAATTTTATTTTCAATATTGGGAATTTTGTGTGACTTCCTAATTCCAAAATTAGCTGCCTTAAGCCACCGTTAGTGAGAATAAGCTTTGATTTTTTTTTTAGTCTGCTCTACATCAAAAGCTAATAAGCTCATTTTAGTGAGATACCAGAAAAGAGAGAACATAGCCTAAAAATGCTGCAAAACCGTGAAAATGGTGTTAAGCAGAGCCACGTTATTTCCCTATGACAGGGTTACCTCTTGTGTGTTTTTAAGGAGAAGTAGCCTTAGATCAGTGACGCCAATATGTGGCTTGTCTTGCGATCTCTCTCCAGGACCCCCCTCTTTGCTGCAGCTCTGTCGCCTTAGAATCCGCAAGTGCTTCAGGACCCAGCAGCATCACAAGATCGAGGGACTCATCCTTCCTGAGGAGCTGAAACGTTTTCTCCTTCATATGTAAACGTGTCAAGGGATCAGAGTCACAAAAAACCCACCAAGATTCCGGAGTGTTGCGGCCACTGGCGTTTTGGAATAAAATCAGGTTTATAGAGCTTGGCCGGTTTTGTCAATTAGGTTTTTATTTTTGATGGAAACACACTGGGAACTTCTGTGTTATTGGTTGGGAGGCCTGAGACCTTTCCCCTGCTCCCTAGAAGAGGGCGGCGGTAATCCCAACCCCTGTTTGAGCCACTGCTGAGCCAGGACCTGTGGTCCGTTTGTTGAGTTCCTCACGCTGACTTCAGGGAAGCCAGATTCCAGGATGGGTTTTCTGACGCTAACCTGGGGACTTGGGTGTGAGGCCGAATTTTCAGACACGACTCTCTGGGCTCCATCCATTACGTAGGAAGGAGGATAAAGAAGAAAGAGATTCCTTTGTCTACCTCTTCCTCTTTTTCTTTAAGATTTTATGTATTTGACAGAGAAACAGAAAGAGACAGTGAGAGGGGGAACACAAGCAGGGGGAGGGGGAGAGGGAGAAGCAGGCTTCCCGTTGAGCTGGACTCTGGGATCACGACCCAAGCCCAAGGCAGACGTTTAGCGACTGAGCCTTCCAGGCGCCCCTGACTTTTTTTTTTTTAAGCTTCCCCATTCTTATGACAAAACCGCTACTGCTATAGTACAACTTAGGGGCCATTTCTTTTTCTTAATCAAAATGTCATATATATGTTAAGCATGTTCTAGAACTGTGCCATCCCCTACAGCAGCTACTAGCCCAGTGGTTCTCAACCACGGGTGATTTTACCCCCTAGGAGACATTTCTGGGGCAATGTTAGGAGAATTTTTTGGTCGTCACAACTTTGTGGGGGTCGGGGGCTGGGGTGGGGGTACCCCCGGAATCCTGTAGGTAGAGAGCAGGACTGTTGCAAAAGCAGCCTGCAGGGCACGGCGCAGGCCCCCAGCACAGAGAATGAGGCAGGCAGTCCAAAAGGCACAAAGCGCCCAGGTTAGAACCGCTCCACTAGCCATCTGTGGCTGGCTAATTTTAAAAATGTAAATTAATTAAAATTGGATAAAATTAAAAATCCAATTCCTCCGTGTCACTGACCACATTTCAGATGTTAATAACCACACGTGGCCAGGGACCCCTGTACCAGACAGCACGCACAGATACGGATCATTGCAGAAAGTTCTGTTGCTCCATTGTTGTGGACGCTTGTGTCGGACAGCACTCTTCGGAGCTTAACAAGTGGATTTTAACTGCCTTTCAGTTTCTGATTTGCACGAGACCTGTAATATGGTTTAGTAATAATAGCTGTAGTCCGTCTTGTCTCGGGGAGATGAATTTGGGGCTCCATTGTATTAACAGAAAGAAAGAAAATGTTGTACCTACTTAAAACCAGTCCTTACCTGTAAGATGACACGTGGCCTCGATTATCTCTGAAGATATTTCTGAGATAATTTCTGTGATTCTAAATTCAATTTGCTTTTTGGGGGGGAAAAAAAAGCCGACTAGAATGTTGTTCTAAAATGCCCAACTAGTTACCCCAGCAGATGGCGCTGCTGCCACAGTCACTTCAGCAGAAAGGCCTGTTCCTCATAAACGACCCATTGTAAGACAGTTTACAGCACGAGCTCTGGAAATTTCCATTCAGGAACAAAAACTTTGTAGTGATAAATTCTATTGCCACTGGGTTTCCTTCTTCCCTTCCCGTGTACCCCCAAATGCAAATATGACTCTACAGAACCCCACTTCCCTGCTCCTTTGTTTTCCTTCTCCATCTGATTACGTTGACATTTATAACTGCTCAGAATTCAGATCGAAAGAGAACATCAGCATCCTGCTACTTGCTAATTTATTTCCTTTCTCTAACCCATTTATTCAGGGAATATTCCATGCCCGTGTCTGCGCCAGGCCCTGTTCTAGACCCCACGGTAGCCACAGCCAAGGAGACAGGCGAAGATACTATATTGACTTTACGGATCTTAACACTGTAGTTGGGGGAATCATTGGCTAAGGATTAAGGAATGATAGACTCTTTGCTATAATTTTCTTTCGGAAAACATGAGTTCAAAAAATAGCCTGGTTTCTCATTTAAAATGTATCAGGCAGACTCTTGCTTATGTTAATCTTCCCTCAGCCAAATCCTCTGAGCGCAGGACTGCACAGAATTACTAGAACAGCATTTTTTCTTCTTAAATCTTCCAGACAATTAACCAATTTGCAAATCCGTATAATAGATGGTCATCTCCACAAATGGGAAAAATACCACCACCACCTCCCTAATTGCAATTTGGGAAAATTTCACATTACCTCGCTTAGCAATGCTCAGAAATAAGATTCAATTTAAATAGGGAGTCTATTTTTATGAGTCTAGATGTGGTTATATTTATAAGTGGCATATACCTTTGAACACTTGATCACAATCTGGCACAGCCTCATAAATTCTGTCATCAAAGTGGTTCGATGACATCTAATAGATCCTCCCTCCCCCCAGTGCACGAGGGATGTAGATTTTTAGCCTCAGGAAACCGTCTTTTAAAAATGGTAATTACTTTGTCTGTTTTTAGAGTGCAAATTTAACTCCTCTCTTTATTGTAGCCCGGTCTCCTATTGTCGGTGACTGCATTCCCTTGGTTTTATTCCAGTAGAAAATGCTGACTGTTTGGTACCCATCTGTAGCACAGTTCCTGTTCTAATGAAACAAGTGAGCAAAGAGAAGAAGGCGGGGAAGAACAATTGATTGACTCTGGGTTTGTACTGGGGCTGATTGATGTGGTCCCGTACTCCGTGTACCAGGTTGGAGTGGTTAGTCATTAAGCAGACACTTGGGGCTCGGGGACAAGGGACCGAGATGTGCTGGGTTGGGTATTTATAATATGACGAACGCTTAGCCTTAGAGCTTGAGTGTAAGACTCAGGCAGCATCAAAAGCAATTAAACACCACCTCTCATTTTAGTGGGCTTGCTAACGGCTGGGCCCTACATATCCATGGGTTGTAAGCCTTACCTCAAACCCTCACAACGCTGTTATCCCCATTTTCCAGATGGGGGTACAGATGGGTTAAGGAATTTACAAAAATTCACACAGTAGGTGGTTGTGCCAGAGTTTAAGGCATAGATAGGCCAGAGCTCCTCTGCAAAGCGCTCTCCTCTTTTGATAAATCCCAGAGCTCTGATCCCTGTCCTAAAACCGCCTGTCAATTTCAGGCCGGCCTTGGAAGTGGAGGTGGAGCCTCATCCCTAGGTCAAAGGTCAGGACACACCTGTAGGAGGTTGCCTAGCCCTCTCCCCAACCAAAAGAAACCACCCTGGGGGGTCCCAGACTTGTTGCTCTTGGCGTAGGCAGCTCGGCCGTGCGGGGCCAGGGATGCTGGTGAGTACCGAACAGTGCCTTCCCACGGGAGCAGCAAAGTCCATTTTTTTTTTTTTCTGAACGGGGAGAGTACTTTGTAATAACTCGGTCAGCGTCAAAAATGTTCACCTGTAATGTGGCAGGGCGGAAAGGAGGCTGCCTGGGCTTTGAACAAAATCGTCTAACTGATCATGTGTTACGTGTACCTATTTGCTTTATTTTTTCACTGTACCAGTGTTCTAGTGACGCATACTGAATTCTCACAAACGTAGTGGCCTAAAGCAATACAAATCTATGATCTCCTAAGTTCTGAAAGTCAGAAGTCCAGGCCCTGTGTCACCAGAATCTCCACTCAGGGTCTCATGGGGCTGAAATCTGGGTGCTGCCCGAGGCTAGAATTCTTCTCTGGGGCTTGGGGTGAAGGTTGTGTCTTTCTCCAAGATCACTGGTTGTTGACAGAATTCGGTTCCTTGCACCTGCGGGACTCATGCCCTTGTTTTCCTGCGGGCTCTCAGCTGAGAACTGCCCTGCGCATCCACCGACCTCCCACACAGTCCCTTGCTCTAGGGCCCCCTCCCTAGGAATTTCACAGGAGGGAAGCCATTGCGGCTTTCTTCCTGGCCAAGTGGCTTGACCTCTCTGCAGCTCCTCTGCTTCGGCCAGCCGGAGGAAACTCTGCTTCTAGAGGGTTTGCCTGATTAAGTCAGGACTACTCAGATCATCTCCTGATTTAGGACCTTAGTCACATCTGCAAACTGGCAGAAGGAGTGTGGATACCGGGGACCCAGAATCTTGGGAGACATCATAGAATTCTACCTACCACACCTGCTGATGGCTCATCGCCATCAGGTTTGTGTTGAAGTCCAATATATAACAACATGATCATGATTATTTTTGTCAAGTCGAACACGTGTATGGTGTTTACTGTATGTCAGGCGTGGCTCTCAGGTTTTCACAAACATCAACTCCTATAATACGTGTAATAATTCTTTGATACAGGTGTGTTGTTATGTCCACTTTACAGCTAAGGAAAGGGCCACAGAGAGGTCAAATAACTTCCCCAAGGTCACGCAGCCACCTATTCCTTTAATCACATCAAGCCTAGATCAACAAGTTTGGCAATGACAAATGAAGGTCCATATGGGACCCAGAGGTGGGATTTCTCAGCCTCGACTCCCATTTTCTTTGGGATCTTCTTACTAACTACAAGGTCACTGGCGTGCCTGCCTGAAGGGTGAGGTGGGAGCATGCTATTCTCTTACGCTGGTCTTCATGACTCTTCTGTAAGTCTAGGTATGTTATGGACCTAATATTTGTGTCCCCCCAAATGTACGTTGATCACATGTTGAAATCCTAAGCCCCAAGGTGATGGTATTAGAAGGTGGGGCCTTAGGAAGTGATTAGATCTTGAGGGTGGCGGCCCCATGCTGGGGTTAAGTGCTCTTATGAAAGAGACCTCACAGAGTTCTGAGATTTTATTTATTTATTTGACAGAGAGATAGAGAGCACAAGTAGGCAGAGAGGCAGGCAGGGGGAGAGGGGGAAACAGGCTCCCCACTGAGCAGAGAGCCCAAGGCGGGGCTCAATTCCAGGACCCTGAGATCATGACCTGAGCTCAAGGCAGAGGCTTAACCCACGGAACCAGCCAGGTGCCCCCCAGGCAGACCTTTTACAGGAGTCTTCACTGATGTTTATAAAAACCAAAAGGGAACCAAGGAACATGCTTATGTAACATGGCGAAGTTTGCTGCTGGTGCACCTGC